AAATGATCTGGGTTTACATATATTCAGGCTGCTATTGCAGAGACGAAAGTGAAGCCAGCAAGCAAGCTCACAATCCGAGTTCCCTCTATAAACACGCAGGGAAAGAACTTGACGGGAAGGATGCTGTGTGAATGCAACGCTGCGTTGGGTGGACCCCAGTCTGACCCAACAGCGCTCTTCTCGGACTCTTGGGGTCTACGCAGGGGTGCTGGTAGGTACTGAAAAGCAGAGGGGGCTATACATTACATACAGGTGTGCGTACATACACTCGTGCGTATGTGTGTCTTTAAAGGCCTCTGTCTCCGAGGGACACCCCCTTAGTTAAACGGGGTGCATGGGCTGGAGAGAAGAGGGCATTTGATTGGAGGAAAAACCTCAGGCAGAAAGGGGGGGGCACAGGAGGCAAAGCCCTGGGGGGCAGAGGCAGCTTGTCCATGGGGGTCAGATGCCACGGAGGCCAGCCCTCAGAGCAGGGTACGCGGTTATTCTGACTGACAAATGCCCTGGGGCAGACGGCCTGCCAGCCCCTGGGGGCTCCAGTCCTGGTGGGCCAACTGCTAACACCTGCCTCTGGCACACAGGTCACCCGTGCTTCTCTTTCATCACGAGAGGGAGGCTGCGGACAAGCACGAGGGTCCCCGAACAACAGAGGGAAGGAGACACAGGTGCGCTGAAGGAACCCAGTCCAATGCAAAAGACGGAGGAATTGCGTAGGAGCCTTCTCCAACCTAGATGCATCAACTTCAGTTCCCATCACCCCCTGCCATGAGGGCTAATGGGCGGGGATTCTGGGACTTGTGATCCAGAACACCTGAAGGTCACTGTTGGTGGAGGCTGGAACAATGACCCAAGGGAGAGGCAGAGGTCTGTTAGCTTTCACCAGTGGTTTTAGGAGAAAAATTTCCAGGGTGCCTGGAGTCTTAGCCAGGAAAAAGGGCCCATGACTCCCAGCATGCTCCTGGCAATTGTAGGCCTTTTGCTGGCTAAACTTGCCTAGGATTTGCACTCTTCCACATTCATTGCTTTCCCAGAATCCCATCCAGTCAGTTCTAACCCCAACTCAGTTGGAGGGACCCCCAAGAACCAAATTCACGTGACACAAGAGATCCTGACTTCCCAAATACTCTGCAGTCAGCCCTGGGGGCTCCCGCTGGGATCCTTCATAGCTTGGTCCTCACCATTTCAGCTTCTAAATCTGCCCACAGGGCACAATGCTGGTGTTTCCTTCCAGGGAAACTGGTAGCAGCTTCGGCGCAGGAAAGGGAGGGCTGAACAGAAGAACAAGAACGGGCCCCTTCCTTCCCTGAGCCGAGTAACTACCCTGAGATAACTGGAAGATTCTGGGAGATCCAGTCTGCAGATATCAGTCTCTCCGCCTCCCAGCACGTGGTGCCAGCCAGAAGTGCTGCTTGCAGGGGGGGAGGGGGGCTGGGGAGCCCTTCGCCCGGGTCTGTCTCCGAGTGAGGGGAGCCATGCAGCTGGCCCCACAGCGCCTGCTCTGTCCAAAAGAGGCCTCCCAGTGGGCAAACTGAGCCTTCTGGGGGACTTGTAGCAGGCTGTGGGTTCTCCTGTGTGCAGTTTCAGGCTGGAGATTTCCTGGGACCAGAAGGTGGCCACCGAATGTCCCTCTGCTGGCAACTGAGCCAAAGGGCGCACGGGGAGAGCCCGGCTGCCAGCCAAGCGCATGAAGCTCTGCATGGCCAGGCACTTGTGAGAGCTTCATCAGAGCACTGCCATTCCCCCCCCCCCCCGCCCCCCGGGGCTTAGAACATGGTTGTAGCAAAGAGCTGTGTTGAAAAAGGAAGCTTTCTGGCCTTAGGAATCACAAGCTTGCCAAACGTTTCTTGAATATCCCATTTTTCCCAAGAGATGCATCATACAGGTCCTGAGCCTCCATTTTAAGGCTTCTCTGCTCCCTGGAGTTGCCTTGAATGCTTTGCTTGCTTATTTGAGAATAACAGTGTGGACACCAGAGGTGCCGATTCTCTTTTGGCTCAAGGGCCGAGTTGCATTTCAAGGCACTTTCTGGGGACCACAAAGCTTTGCTTTGCAGAGCCAAAGAGAAAGGGGGCATAAGCCAGGAACACGACCAGGCATATACCAGTAGGTCCACCTCTGTCCCACCATGTCCTGCCCCCAGGATGCCGCGATCCAGCTCTAAAGCAGCAGGGTCCAGGTCGCAGGAGGTCTGATCAACAACAGCTTGGCCCCACGTGGAAGAATCACGGTGTGACGCGTTCCTTCAGCTAAGGGGGGTATGCTTGAGCCCCAGAACAGAAGAACTGTCTCCAGCTCCCTCAGAACACCGTCAGGAGCCCCTTTGGTGTTTTGATACCCGATCCTCATGTGGGCACACTGCTTCGAGGGATGAAACCGGCTGCCGGTCTCTTGGGTGCCGGCCCCAACCCTCCTGGCCATTGACATCAGCGATTGCCGCATTTCCTTTCCAAGTGACGGCTTTGGTAAACACCACCCTGGGGAGAGTGTTGACATTCGGGCTCTCGAGCAGGCAGCAGGAGACAAAGCCCAGCTTTGATCCCGACACCTTGGGAAATCCATGCATTGACGACACTGGCCCCCTTTGCCAGTTCTTTATCTGCCATTTTTAAACTCGGTTCTGGACCACATGGGGTCTTCTCAACTCCAAGAAATCTTGGAGGATGCTGATGAGGTAGAGTTGTCCCAATCCATCTTGGGCATGAGATGACCACTTGTGGCCGTCCAGATGTTCTAGCTGCAGCTCCCATCAGCAGCAGAAGCAAGGACAAGGAATTGCTGAGTTGTAAGCCAGAGCATCTGGAAGGCTCCACCCGTGCCCCAAAGTGCAGGATTTTCAATATATTAAAATGAATAACTAGAAGGACATACTAGCTCTGATCTGGCACTGCTCGGCGATTTCCTGGCTAAGATGCTGAGGACTTGGCAGCCTAAATAGCTTTCCATCGCTTCCCTTTCTTCAGTGCCATCTCTGATTACTGGGATTGAATGAATCCCCCCAAATCCTGTGCACAGCTCAGAAGGAAGCCTTATCAAGGCCAGTGGAATGGAGTCCCCCATAAATGGATATATAGGTGGAATTTGGGGTGAGGCAGGAGATGATAATCTGTTAGCTCACACAGACTTTAAGTTGCAGGACAGGGCAGGAAGGAAGACAGCTAGCGCCGCTGCCCATGTCTTGCCCTCGTCACCCAGGGCCTGGCAGGAAGGGTGAGAGCAGCCTGCACCTCAGGAGACTCCTAGCATCTGGTGAGAAGATCCATGAAGCGTAGCGCAGAAGGGTCACAGTTGATGGGATGTTGGGCGTGGGGCCAGAGCTGTGTTTAGGTCGCATGCAAATGCCGGAGTCTGCCTAGACGAGAGGGACTTTTTCTCTGGGGCCGGCCCTGTAATGGGCCTTGCCCGTGCCCTTCAGTGAGTGCGGCATTCAATCTCACATGGGAGAAATCCTGCATGATACGGGTTTTGCTGCAGGACCCAGGCCTGGAGAAGCCACCCTTGTGGCCAGCGGCTTTGCCAAGAGCACAGTCCTATGAATGGGAGGTCAAAAGTAAGTCTCATTGTGTTAAACAGAGCTTGCCTCTAGGTCAGGAGGTACAAGTTTGCCGTTTCAGGCTTCTTTGATGAAGGTCAGTGGAAGGCGATTACAAGAGGCTATTTTAAAGAACGGGCAGCGGTTGATCGCAGCTCGCAGACTGTGTGCTTTTGTGAAGGAGAAAGGGAAGCGGACTGAGCTCTGTTTGTGTGTGCATGAATCAACTTGGCTTTGCAAAACTGGCCACGTGATCCAGATGTTTGTGCAGCCTTTGGCCAAACACAGAAAAGCTAGAGAATGGTGGAGAGGAAATGAAGACCACGGAAAGACCGGGATTAGGTGGTGAATAGTGGCCATGGAGATGCCTGGACCTGGGAGCTCCATGTTTGCTCCAGGAGCAAAGACACCATAGAGAGCCCAAGAAAGAGCGGCACCAGAAGGGGCTGCTCTAGGCACGCATCTGGGGCATGTTCCGGGGTGCTTTGCACCATTCCCGTTGCCGTTAGAAAAACACTTAACACTCGCCTGCAGCTGCTCAGGACAACTGCTTTTCATGCTTGCCTGCTGATATTTATCTCCTCAATGAGGAACTCAACCCTTAATGGTTTTCTGAAGACCACAGGTTTCCTTGCAATGAATTACGGATGCTCCTGCATGCACAGTCATTTGTGTATCGAAACAGTGAAACCCTGTTTCCTAAAATTACCCTTCTAGCTCTTAACATTTGAGAAACTGAAGAAACATAAAGGCAACAAGAGAAGGGGGAAGAGAGATGCGATTTAGATGGCCGGGCCTCGTGACTTCATGCTTCATGCCTGATTTGTTTGCGTGAAGCCCAGGCCCGATGCTGCAGCGGATTCAGGACAGCTGCAGCCCAGGTGGTGGGAGGAAGCTGGCCACTTTGCTAGTGTTGCTGCGTTTACTGAATTGGTTCACACGTCGCAACAAGCAGTTGAGGGTTCTTTTGGCATTGCGGGCTTGTCGTGTTGTCCAGATCCTGTTGTGGTATACCACCACAGCTTGTTTTGGGCTTACAAACCGTGACAAGAAACAACAGACTTTCGTATGGTTGCCACCTTCCTAGATGGTCTGTCGTGACATCCGAACCGAGACGCTCCGTTTCTCTGTCCACAGAGTCCAATGGAAAGAGTGGCAACAGAAGGGGCCACTCCAGGCACCCAGCCTCGGCCGCCCACCGCGTCTCGGCAGCACATGCGTCCTCGCTCGCCTTGCTCCTGGCAGAGTGCGGGGCCACCAGCCTGCTTGCCTCTTGCAGCGGGTGAATGCCCAGTGTGGGGAGGGCAAAAGGGATTCTTTTAGCATAAAAATCAACTCTCGATTGGTTAGGAATCATTAAAGAGATGGAGGTAAGATCAGGAGGGGCGGGGGAGAACCTGCATAAAGCCTCTCAAAGAGGCGGGTGAGGTTGCTGGGAAATGGTAGAGAAACGGGATGGGTGACAGGAGGACCGAGGGGCCGGTGGCTGGGATCCGAGCCGTGGGATTGCCTGACGGGGGAACATAGTAAGTGAGCACCTGTTGTGGCAACCTCCCACCTTTCACCTTGTGATGTGCAGACCCACCTGTGGTGCTTTGACCATTTTTGCTATCACACTGGCCCGTCTTACACTCTGTGGTTATCCTCTGCCTTGGGAGGACTCCTGTCCTGGAAGGCAGCTAAGAAATATTTTAAATTAGCAAATAAATGCTGGTTGGCCCAGGATGCTGGAAGTAACTGGGTAACCGCAACTTCCTTGGTGACTAATTCAACCTACGGGCTTCATCCTGAGCCCAGAGCAGAACTGCAACTCTCATGGCTACAGAATCAGGCATAATCTTTGGGCATCCATTTCTGTATTCATTTCTGACTTTTTTGTGCTCTCTGATCTGATGAACTGCTGCAGAGAACCTGAAAGTTTGCATTTTTTGGTGACATTTTGATTTGTCCCCATGAAGTTGTTGCCCAACTGTAGATTCTGAATTTTCCTCCCATTGAAACATTGTTTTTACACATTTAGAAGAAGAGCTGGATATGCAGCTGCTTTTTCAATCTCTTTCTCCAAATGGTCAGGAAGTTACGGAAGGATGAACAAAGGAAGATAAGCAAGAAAATCAGGAGAGGAACGTGATGCGTATCTGAAAATGAAGCCTCCCTTGATGCTTCAAAGCTGTTAGCCATGATAGTGAAATGGACTTTCACATTCAAGAGCAGACTCTGAATTCTGTAATTATAAAATTATATGTAATTATACAGTAAGCATCCATACTCTGCCTTAGAAATTCTCAAGGAGAACCCATGGGAGAGATCTCTTTTCTGTATTATGGCTTATCCTGGTTTATATACTGCGCTCCACAGTGATCATACAATCTCATGGATATCAAAAACAGCAAAGAAACGTAACGGCGAAACTGCACAATCGTAAATCGGTGCTGAGCAATAGCCGTTTGATGCAAACTGTTGCGTGGCTGGAAAGTTTACCCCTGGAGGCTGGAAGCATTGCCTTCCAGTGGCCTGGCTACTGCCGGAAACTGTCTCGAGGGCTGCCCCTGGCAACCCTCCCTGTTGCAAAAGCACAAACATCCCACGCTCGGCACAAGGAGAGAAAAAGGTACTATGAACTCCCTCTCGTTGCTCGCCAGCTGCAAGCCAAGGCACAATTCAAGTCATGCTTTGCATACAGGATGGCCCAAGCCCAGACCCCCAGCTAGGAAATATTCCCACCAGGAGCCCTGCGAGTCTCTGCCCTGCGGGGCCCGCGGGATGGGCCCGGAAGCACGCACATCTGACCGTGTGTAAGGCAACTGCGCCTGTTGCTTTTCCTGTAGGAATTTTGCCATCCATGTGGCGCACGCGCCTCGTGGCTGGGTTATTCTGCGGCTGGAGAGAAGCTCTTTTGTCTGTGCCTTGTTTCCCTGGAAAAGTACTGAGTATTCATAACCTATCCGGGCCAGAGCGTTCTGTTGGCGAATCCGGGAGCCAGGCGGGTGCCTCGGGGAAGGTGCCGCCTGCGAGGGACAGTCTTCCTCCTGTTTCCCCAGCCCCTGGCAGGAAGGGGGACGCGGTGGAGTCCGGGGGCGATGAGATGCGCGTCTCTGTTCTCTCTGTGGAGTGTGGTCTCTCGTGGTTCACTCAGACCTGCTTGAGTCGTCCCCTGCGGTTTGATCTGCTGGTGAGTTGAGAGCCAGTCCCGTGTGGTGTTGAGAGCGTTAGACTGGGACCCAGGAGATCTTGGTCCCGGCCCCCACTCTGCCATGGAGCTCACTGGGTGGCTTTGGGGCAGTCACGACCCTCAGCCCAGCCTACCTCACAAGGCTGTTGTGAAGACAACATGGATAGGAGAAGCGTCTTGTAAGCTACCTTAAGTTCCTTGCGAGAGGAAGAAAGCTGGGATACAGATGTGGTAATGGTCACAATAACGGTGCCCTTCTGCCTACCCAGCTCTGCCAGAAGGAGTGGTCAGGATCAGGCCTGGGAGTAAACGGGCTGCTTTTAACAGCAGCTTCCCCCAGGACCGCCCCAGGGGCCAGAGACACAAAGAGGCAGGGAGGGCAGCAGTAGGCGTCCAAGAGCACCTCTGTGCATGGGGGGCTTCCCTGCCCACCCCTAAACTAGCCCTCTGCCTTCAGGTGCAGTAAAGGAAGCTGCCAGTGTTGAACGAAGATGCCACGAGCGGCTTTTGTACGCCATCCTTGTACATCCAATTTTATTGCCCCTTTTTTTTAACCAGTTGTGATCCGCCCAGGAAGCTCCGGCTGTTGGGCGGTACAGAAACGAAACAATGGTGAAAGAGCCAAGCGAAGCCCCTGGCCAGGCTGTTTTGCTCCACTTTCAGACCAAGTGTTCTGGAGGACGGCCTTCCCCACCCCGCCCCCCATCTGAGCTTCAGGAAAGGTGGCACCTGCTGGGTCTTCAGGTGGCATTCAGACCTCCTGGGTTGGTCCTCAGAGTCTCAGGGCAAGCAAAAGGCAAAGAAGGAAGAGGAATGGCTGACGGGCAGCTTGTCCCTGACATTCCAAGGCTCCTTTCAAGGAGGGACCCTGAGTATGGGCCACCCGGGATCAAAGTGACAGATCTGGATGAGCTGCTGGAGCCGTTCCACCAGATGACGTGCCAGCTGATGCAGAACGGTGAGGCGGAATCTGCTGCCCTCGGGGCACCAGGTGGGGCCAGTTGACCCAAGGAAAAGGGCCCGGGGGACTGGGGACCCTCCTCCTCGTTTAAACTTGCATCGGGCGGCACCTTCAGCCTCCTTTTGTGCTGCCTCCCTGGAATTCCTTACATCCAAATATTATTTTAATGCTCCAGGCATTTGCCAACTTCTTGCTGGCAGTGAAGTCTGCACAGTCGAATTTTCCAGAAGTTAAGCACCCAAGTTTCCAGGCAGTCTGAACAAGGGCTTCCTTGCAAGAAGTCAGAGCAGACAAAGTGCGTGCCTTAAAGAGACCATTGGCAGCGTGATTCACAAGGGCAGGCTGCCCACCGAGTGGGACAGAGCCCTGCCGGTTCATTCAGTTGCATGCAGGCCGCTCCAGACCAAGGTGAGAAATGCAGTCCATCTCATTTCTGCAGCTCCCGGATCACCTTCTGTCACTGTCGGTGGCAAAGATGCAACTGGAACCTGTTCAGCACCTGGGCAGAGGACCTTCTCCCCGAACCCTGGCTGTCCCAATATATACAACCTCTGCACGAGGGGAGGGAGGTACCAGCCAAACAGCTGGCTACTGATCCCCCAGATGTTTGACTTTCTCCTCTGGCCAGCATTCCTTCCAGATTGACCAATCTCTGCCCAGCCAACCTCTCTCAGCTCCCTCCCTTTACCTGGGTCTCCTGACATCGTAGGTGTTGGGAAAATCCAAATACATCCTCAAATAAAAAGATAGGCTTTTGCAGGTCCTTTCATATCAAATCTGGCAGCAGGGGCTTCACCCCCCCCCCCCATCTGCAGGGTCTTGCCTTCCTAGTTCTTTCTGGGTGGCGCGGAATAGCCCCACGCTATGCTAATACTCCACCCATTAATGACGGCAAGCCATCCGGGAAGTTGTGCTTCTTTTGCAATGTCAAAATACCTACCCAGCTCACGCTTTGTCTTAAGGAATCCATATCTCTGATTGCAAAAGCCACAGCATTCTAAACCCATCAGATTTCTGTAACTCCTGATTGTTTCATTATCTGTTACTCTAGTCTTCAGTGGCTCATGATGTTTTTCCTGATGCCTGTACCGATTCCTCAGTGTTTCTGTATTATTCCCCTCGCCTTCTCACCCACTCAGAATCTCATCAGTGCCCCAAATCTGCGCAAGTGACCCACAACTTATAAAAAACTGTCTGTGCTCTGGAAAATTGTAGCCGGTTCCGACTAGGAGGCCTGGGAGGCCCCTCCTGACTCGCTCTGTTTCTGTGTATACTGGCTACCCGGCCGTGCTCTTGTATTTGTCTCCAGTCAGGGGGGTTCTGGGTGAGCTGCTGATCAGCTGCTGAGGTCTGAGCGTGGCGTCTTCCGCGTGGGTCCGAGTGCACATTCCCCCTTCTGCTAAACCGAGTTCTCCTGACATAGGCAGGCCCGCTGGGTCAGGCCTGTACAAGACCCCAAAGGAATGGGAGAGGCCAGCGTCCCTGCGGTGCTGCCCTTCGGTCCTTGGTGCTCCGAGAGCCTACAGGCCTGCCTTGGCCCGACCGCTTGGCTCTCCAGAGGGAACCCCATGTTCCAAGTCCAGAGCCCCTGCCAGGTTCTGCCCCAGCTTCTGAGACTCGTCTCTTCCTTAGTCCTCTGGCCGCCCTCCTTCCTCTCCAGGATCAGAGCAGCTTGGCTTCAGGCAATAAGGTCTCATGCTGGGCAGGCCTGCTGGTTTATATTCCATCTGGTCTGGCTTCTGGGTGAGCTTAACATACCTTAACCAGGGGCCCTCCGGATGTTTTGGACTGGGACTCCTAGCTTTCCTGGCAAGTGGCCCTGCTGGCTGAGGCTGATGGCAGCTGGAGTCCAAGAGATTTGGAGGGTGCCAGGCTGGGAACAGCTGAAAGCCCAGGCCCCAGCTGTTCCAGCGACTCTGGGGCGAAAGGGACAGCTGGTGCCGATCTCTGCTCCCCCCGTTGCGGCTGCAGGACGTGTTTGAGGCTGCAAGCACCACTGCTTGCCTGAGAGAAACGCAGGCACGGAGGGAGCAAGACTTCTCCCAGCCTGGGGGAGCGTCACCTGTAGCATTCCTGTCTGCAGGACCAGTAGAAGCAACAGAAGAGGTTCCCGGAGCAAACACGTGCTTGTTTTGTCCAGCTGGCCAAAGAGAGTTGGGAACAGTAGAGCAAAAACACACACCCTGCCCCGAAAGCACGTTCACCCACATCGGAACTGGAAGGCGCGTACCTGCCGTGCATGCGCGGAGCTTGCGCTGTCAGCCCACTGTCACCCTATGAAAATTCTACTTCCAGGGAATTCAGTTGTAAAACGGGCCATTTTAAGAAGGTTTCCCATATTCTCTTTCTTAAGATACAGTATGTTTTCTTAGAAAAAAAGAACAAAACTACAATCCCCTTTAACATCTCAGTGGTATCCTTTTAACTCTCTTTGCGCTAAAGTGAACCTTACAGATAGTTGTGAATCATACATAATCTTGTGGTTGGTGCCATGTGGCCTAGCGCTTTTCACATCACCAAAACTTTGTAGCTACGTATCTGTAGAATTCCATGGCGTTGCTCTGGAGTAAGACGTTCAAAGACTGCAACTTGGGGGTTCCTGTGCTGCAGCACGTGGACTAGAGTGGAAATTGGCGGAACAGGGAACTCTCTCAGGGCTGTCACACACAGAGAGAGGCTGCATGGCACTTGGGGTGTGCCTGTTGCTCCACTGCCCAGAAAGCCTGCCAGCGTTAAAAGGGAAAGCAATCGGAAACCATAAGAAAGAGTCACCCTTTAACAGCCTGCCCTTCTGAGCCCCATGGTTCATAAGCCGGCTTGCAGATTTTCTGTGACCTCTGCTTGCTTTTTCCTTTCCTACTAGGCAATACACGATTTCAGCACAATTTATTGTACGTCTGCTCAAAAGGAAGCCTGGTTGAGTTCTGTGCGATTGATTTCCAAATAAGTACAGATCTGATTGCAGTTTTAAGGGACGATTTCCACGGAACGATTCGAATTCCTTTCTTGTAGAACGAAAACAAGACTCCGTATGCAAGGGAGGCTGGAGGGGCAGTTGTGAGAGGAGAGCGCGGGGTGTTTCGTGATGACTACTTGAATTTGGAAGGGATAAATGATACTCTTCTGTACTGCCATGAAAGGATGTGTTACGAAGGGCTGTCAAGAGGCATAGCTCTTACGAATGCTTTCCTGCTTCCCCTGCCAAATGTCTTCCTGAACGCTGGGGAATTTTAAACAATTTTTCTTCTTCGGGAAGGAAAAAGTGGTGATGGGCGGAGGGAACCCTTTGGGAGAGTACATGTGCCAAATTCATAATCCACATGCTTTCTTATCACTTGTATAGGAGCTTGTCTAGGAAGTTCTGCTAGAAGACCGTTTGCATGCAGGTTCCGATAGTGCAGTGGGGAGTCAGACTGGAGCAGGGATGAGAGCAGGCCGAATCCACTCGTTCCCCGTTGCAATTTAGGGGGTGGGAGCGTGACAGTCAGCAGTGCAGCCGTGTGGGGTGCTCAGGGGTTTGCAGGGCGCAGAAAGAAACTGTCCGGGGAGGGAGCTGCCTGCGGAAATGGCCCCCACTTAGCAGTAGGCAATGGCAAGCAGGACGATGCTCCCCTGCTCGGCCGGAATCGGCAGCGCCACTTCTGAACGCGCGTGTCTCCAAAGCAGGAGGGCCGTTTTGGCTTGGCTGCATGGCGAGGGGCTGAGGGCAGCCTGGGGAATTCCAGCCAGCTCCTTCCTTCCCGTGGACCTTTCGGATGATGACGGCTGCCGGCTTTCCCGATCTTCATCCGTGCCTTTTTGGGCTGATGGGGCCTGCCTAAAGCGTCTCTGCAGCCCCAGGCTGGGGAAGGGGCTGCTCCTCCTGCAACTTTCCTCCCCTGTGTCGGAGCAGGTGATGAATTTGGCTTCGCTAGAGCTAATTGCACATCCGCCTGTCATTTATGCATTTGTTTTGCATTTATTAATCTTCTCTCAGTTTAAAAAGTGCTCAAGGCAATGCACAGTAAAACGACTGGGGTCCTGAAACTCCATTTGCAGTAATTACTTTCCATGCTTGTCACAGGCTAATTAAGGACGTGCATTTGCATATTCGCCTGTTCTTTGTGCGCTTCCTCTGACAGGCCACTCTGTTTGGCTCTCCTTCGTTCCCATCCGTTCTGCCTTGCTTTCATCACTGGCAGGCTCTTAACCCGTTGCAGGCATCTGCTCCCCCGGGAGAGCCTTCTGCAGGTTACTGCCTGGGGAATGTGGGTGGGGTGGCCTTTTGTCCTTCGTCCTCTTGCGACCGTGTGCTGCTTTTCCAGATACTTGGGGCAGAGCGAACGCCATTCCCTTGTCCACGGGTGGCCCTGCTCCCCTGGCCCACTGCTGACGGCGGTGGCAGGGTCAGTGCGCTCAAGTCAGGGTCACGGTTCTTTCAGTCTTCATCACGCGCCGTCCTGCTGAGCACCCTCTCCAGCAGATGATAAAGCTGCTGGAAGCGCTCTGGAGATTGGACTACATCTTGTAATTCTAGCGGGTAACCAGTTGCAAAGGGGATGGGTAGGAGCTGAATAGAGCAGGCTGCACTGAGAAAGGAAAGAGCTTGACAGAGGTATTTATTATTTATTTATTTAAAGTTTTTATATGCCCTCCCCTTGCTATATAGCCTCGGGACGGCTCACAGAAATAAATATACAATACAGTTAAATATCATACAATACAGATCATCCTCTAGTTAAAATTCTAGAAGTATAACAGAATACTTTCTAACAGGATAAAAACCACAACTACTACTGAACATTTCGAACAGGCTAGGTGTTCTATATACAACCACTCCCCCTGGCTAAAAATGAAGACACTTCTTTGGGTCAGTCTGGCACTAGGCAGCATCCACTCTTCCACTCAAAGTGCTTTGATGCACCCCGAATTGTTACTTAGCTTTGTCCACTGAGTGGCATTGTGCCTAGCTGCTTTCCCAGTCTCCTTCTGGGCTGTGATCCCATACTATGACTATCCCAACAGGCATCAGCCGGAGTTCGCGGCATTTCCTCTTCTACTCAACTGCAGTTTGCACTAGGGGTAAGAAAAGCTGCAGCAGCTGGAACTTGCTTTGCCACTCAGTTGTGCAAGGTGCAAGTTTGGTCTTGGCTTCCCTTACCTCTGGTCTCCTCAGACCTTGAAGCTATTCTGGGCAGTCTGGCCTTGAGCATTTTCACACAGAAAGCTTTAAAGGACGCTAAAATAAAAGCGAAACCGGCAGTGGCTGCCCTGTGCATTTTCACTCTCTCAAGGGAGGCACAGATGCATGTTCATATCCCTTGTGCAAGCACCTTTCAGCTTCCACTTTCTGCCATCTGCATTAGAAATTCCCACTGAAAATGGTGCATCTTTCCTGCTTTTTCTCTCCTGCCCGCCCTTTCTGAAATTCTCCACACTGACGTCCCTAAGGCCATGTTTCTTTCAAAAAAGAAAAAAAACACACATGACAAGAAATCCAGATTCTAGACAAATTTTCTAACAAGCCGGAGTGGAGGAAGAGTAAACCAGATTCAGCCAGAATCTGCCTCCAGCCATCTTCTTAAAGCGTGGGAGCTTCTCACCTGTGAATTTGCCTTCTGTGTTGGTTATAATTCCCTCAGTTGTTAGTAGGAATCTAATTTTCCCAGGAAATAGTTCCTCGTTGCTCTGCAAAGTATTTTGGAGTGGACTTGGTTGTGGGCAGGAAATCAGGACCCCCTTGGTAAAGTCCTGCTCCTGGTGGAGCTGCCTCGTTGATACTTGTCTGAGTCCTTCTGGGGATGTGGCCACAGGAGTGCCGTCAAGAGCCGCTGCCCTCCAGGACTTGCTACTGCCTCCTGATATTAAAGCCGATCCCAGAAAGCGCTGTGCACCACTGTTTTATCCCAGTCCGCATTATCCGAAGGGAAATCAGGAGGAAATGCTAAGAGGACAGCTCGCCTTGCGCAGCTTGCGGAAGTCTCCTTCCTAGCAAGCATTCCCAAACTTGACAGGAGAGGAAGCGGCTTGAGGACGCTCACGTAAGGCCCCCGTTTTATGTCTCTTTTGGCATTTCTGAATGCGCTTAAGAGAGAAGGAGGCCGTTAAGCTCCGGGCAAAGCAAACATCTAGGGCAGAGCTGGGTCCCGTTCTTGGCTGTCGGGAGCCTCCCCAGGCCAGCCGCCTGCTTCCTGTGCCGCGAGCGAGGGAAGGGGCTGTGGGGAGGGCTCCTGTGTCTGCTTAGACGTCCCTCCTCCGTGCCGCTCCGAGTGACCCCGAGTAACACCAGCGCACTTCCAGCCGCAGAACGGAAAGGTGGTCTCTTCTCAGCCCAGTGAATAAGGGCTAAGCGAGACTTCCGGTAGGCCTGAGCGGGGGACTGGCTGGACCCGTTTTGCTGGATCAAAGGGTGGCTGAGTGCAGCGGGGGGCTGAAGCTGCTCTGAAGAGCAGAGGGACGGAGCAGGCTGAGTCGGTTTCTCTGCATTCCCTGCCAGGAAAGCGGCAAGGGATCGGAACAGAACATCTGGCTCCAAGCCAGGCATTTTTGATACACCGACATCCTGTTGCTATCGATAGGAGACATTGGCACAACTATTTCTCTTGTCCCAACAGGCTTTTGGACAAAAGTCCTCCGGCCAGGGGCACTGATATTCGAGTTGGGGTTGGAGTTTAAGGGGTATGACACGTTTTAAATGCACATTTTAACGTTTTATGAAAAGTTATGTCTTCAGCCAAACTACAAGAAGGAAATTTAAAACGATATCAGAAAAGAATTGTATCAAAACTGCATTCACTGAATTACTGCAATTGTTTAAATTATAGTAATTATAACTCATTATAAGGATATAATTGCAGTGCTTAACAATCTAACCGAGTCATACCATAGAAAAATACTAATTTTTAACAAAGCTCCATAAAAGACTAGATATGTGATCACGGCTTGTGCATGTTTTCCATTTTCCGCAGTAGAAAATGACCTGCAATGCCCAACGGGCCTCAATCCACCCAAGAGGCTTTCTGGGTATTTGTTTACCCATCCATAAATAAATTTCTTAAACTAACAGGAATTGCAAGAAATTATCTCTTGCGTAACTGCAACTGGAGAGGGCATGTGATGCTTCCAGTGCTCCTCTAGTGCGTATTTTGTTCCAACCAGACCCACTGCCTGTGCGACAGCAAAACTCAAGCCCCTTCGCACAACCCGGGGACAGAACCAAAGCACTCATTTCCAGAACAGGACACGTCGCCAGCGCTTCCTTTGCTGGCCAGCCCTCTCCCAAAAACAGGCACCGAGGCTCATTTGGGGTGGGTTTAGGAAGCACCAGCTTGCATGGAGAGCATTAGCTGCCTCTCACAAGGCTAACTCCATGTATGAACCACCTTGACGGTCTCCCAGTGTTTAGCTGAATCCATCTGAAATCTGGTTGGAATTGAAAAGACCTTTCGTCCTCGGACCAAGCAGCTCATGACCCCGTCTCCTACAAGCCCCAAACTTGTAGGGGAGGGGAGAACCCTACCTCCACAGGGATGTCCCTGAGGTGATGGGACACCCCAGGGAAGAGATCTTGGAGTGAAAAGCTCTGTGAAAAGATTGGCGCGACGTGTGAGGAAGCTCAACTCCATGACTGGAAGCTGACCTGAGAATGAAATAGCCATTTTGCCAGAGCCGTGTGGGTCAAGGTGCTTGATGCAGGCATGTTTGGAATTGCAGCACAGTCCTGCTCTCAGGCGTAATGCAGAGCTGGAAGAAATGCAGAAAGGGGCAGTCAGGGCTGGGAAACCCGTCCCATGAAAAAGGCTGCGATGTGTGGGACTTTTTGATTTAGCTAAAAGTGACTAATTAGTGGCACGATGGAGGATCGGGACATTGCAACCGGAGTGGAAGGGCGACTGGGCAGGCCCGCGGAGGACAGCGCTGTCGACGGCCGCACGCCGCCTCAGCGCCCCTGCAGTCCACAGCCGTGGGAGCGCAAGCAGGCAGCCTGTGGTGCCCGGCCTGCCGTGGGCTTCCTCCTGCTTGTGGCCCCTGTGGGGAGAGGGACGGCAGAGCTGGTGGAGTTTGGCTTGCCCCTGATGCTCGGTATTGCTATTGCTGCGGAATCCGAGGCAAACTTTTCGTTGCGTGATGGGTTGTCCCTGAGGTTCATCCCTGGATTTTGGAACTGACTGGTGTCAACCTGTATGAGGAGGTCGTAGCACGGGGATTGATCTTGGGGTGATGTGTGTTCGTGTGTGTGCACTTGATATATTTAAATAATCCCCCACATAGAAAGAGATTGAAAGGGAAGGAGGAGGGAGAGCTGATCGTCTGAGCTACAAATCCACAAAAGGTGGTGGTCGGGAAGGGTTGCTTGTCATGATGGTGGAGCCCAGCCTAATACGCTGGGCTTTGGGGAGAGATGCAGGCTGTGATCTTATTGTGAGGGTGTGTCAGCCATGTGCAAGCCATTCAGGCTGGCTTGTCAGGAAGCTCCCTTTACCTCCGCCTCCAGGACTCTCGGATGGTGGCCCTGCTCTGGAGCCGTGTGTGCAAGAGGCTGAAGGTCACCTTCCAGGTGATGCTCACACATTCTGCTGAGGCGAAAGTCCCCTTCCAGAGCTTCCCAAGGCTGCCGCCGTGGAAGTAGTATTGCCCCGAACTTCCTGGCTCCCGCTGGGAAGCACAGCCCGTCCAGGTTGAAGCCAGCCCTTTTTTCTTTCGTTGCAACATTAAATCGAAGGATCCCGCAGGCAAAGACTGTTGGCTTTTTAAAGTCAAGGGACTTGGCTCGCCCCTGAGATGGAGCTGTTTTAAAGATGAACAGCTTACTTGCGGGAAAAGAGGGAAGCCCCCATCTCGTGGCGGGATGGGAGCAGGGGAAATCTCCTTGAAACAACGTGCAAGTGCTGCTGCAACCTCAGGGCACCGCCGTCCCCTTCTGGCGCATCCAGGGCTTGCGTAGCCCACGCGGCACCCCTGCAGCGCATTCCCCCCCCCCCGACATCGGCTTATTGCAGGCAGTGATGTCAGAAAAGAAGCAACCTAGAGAACTGTCTCATCACAGTAAAAATTCTTCCGTCTTAGCCTGTGGAAAATTCCCGTGTTACTGAGACATGAGGCAGCGACTTGGGGAAGCTGAACTTCCTTGAGACGCTTCCATTACCCCGCCCTGAATTCGGCCTCTCCCCACCATGCACTGCTTTGCCCTGAAACAGTGCGATTGCACCGCCTTCTGGTTTCAGCAAGCCGAGGAGAATGTGAGCGAGCTGGAGCCCAGGTCACAGGAAGCAGGGCCACCACAGATATTTGACCTCCTGAACCCTCTGATGTCATGAGTGTTTTCTCTAGCATAGTTCTGCAAAGCATCGCCTGATCCTTCGGGGTCAAGGGTGGCTCCAGCAGCATGCAAAAATAGCCCGGGTGAGCGCCACTTGAGGGTTGTACAAGAGCCCTTGGCACACGTGACTTAAATGCCGCATCTTCTTTCCCAGGCCATGCTCAGCAGACACCAGGCAGGGGAAATAAGCTGTGCTCAGCAGTGACGGACTTGGAGTCGCGGACCTCCGTCACCCAGCCCTCTCCTGAAGCCGTTTCCAAGGTATTAAGCATTATTCTGGTTCCAAAGGGGGTGGAGGCCACACAAGGGACGATTCCTTAAACCAACGTACATGCAGCACTTCAGTAAGGCAGCCAGGCTGCGGAAGCATGTGGGATGGGAGCAGAGAGCCAGGGTTTGTCCCACCCCTGCTGGTGCAGGACACCACCTCACACCCTCCCACTCAGGTGGCTGCCCCGTTTCCCCTTGAATGGCTCCTGTGTGGGGGAGCCCCCCACCTCTCCGGGCAGCTGGTCCCACTGGCACATTGCTCCAGCAGTGAGGAAGCTCTTCCTGATGCCCAGCCCGATTCTGGGCTGTCGCAACTTGACTTGATTGTTCCATGTCCTGCACTCTGGCATCAGCAGGAAGAGATCCTGACCTTCCTCACGTCGTTTCATCTGTCAGCTTTGCAGGGACTGGCTGGAGCGGCTGCTTCACGTGGCAGACACTGACGACACCCGCAAGGAGCCCCGGTCGGCCAGGGGTGCAGGCAGGGCCGAGGGAGGGTTCTTCGCATCCCCCCAGCCCTGCGTCTCGCCATGGAGCAGGTCAGCAGCTTTTTCCACGCCATCTGGACGTTCATCCACTCCAAGCACCAGGAGGGCGTCTACAACACGGTCTGCCTGGCTGTGCTGATGGCGCTGCCAGCCCTCGTCCTCCTGGCCAGTCTGTTCGTCTGCTGCCACTGCTGCTTCTGCGGCCGGCGGCAAAGGGACGGTCGGGGCTCCCGCAGGAGCAGCAGCAGCAGCCCCTCCCAGTGGAAGAAGCGGGGCAGGATGCTGAGGAAGAAGAAGGAAGAGGACCTCTGGATCTCCGCGCAGCCCAAAATGTTCCTGCTGGAAAAGAGGCCGTCGCTGCTGGCCTAGGAGAAGGGGGCGGACGAGAGACGTTCCTGCTCCCCGTGAGGGTTTCGCGGCACTTTGGGCACGCGGTTGGCAAACTGGACTGTCTCCCTGGTCAGGGTGATGCGCGGCTTTTCTTAGAAAACAAAGCTTTGGGGAGGAATGTCCTGAGATGTTGTGGAAAGTCCCCTTGTGGGGGGCGTGCATTTGTAAGCACACTGCTAACTGCACCCGGGTGGGAGGCGCTGTTGCCCCTGCCAGGAGCATGCGAGTCCCCATGCACCCGAGAACAGACTCGCGCGTGCCCGCCAGCACATCTGCGGCATCTGCGGCCTTGGACTAAACGTTCGTGTCTGCATCCTTCAGCCCAACTAACCAATCTCGCACTGACAGCAAGATGTGCACTAGCCAGCAGCGCCTGCTGCACGCCCATGTTTGTGTCACATGCACTGCCTTAGAGGCCCACGCGTGGGAGCACACAGCAGCCAGGCGAGCTCAGCCGAGCTTCCAATGTGCAGGGCTGCCGGCACAGCTGCCGACTGAGCGGGCAAGCAGTCCTTCTGGCTGCTCGCTTGATCCCGGAGACAATGCTGCTCTACCCTCCCCAGTAGCCCCGCGCCTTTTGGTTTCATTCCCTGATTGAAAGCGGCGTCTCTTTCATCCTTCTAAGCTCCTTTTTTGTTTGCTCTGACAACCAATTCTCTCCCGAAAGCAGCATACAGCAGTGCAAAACCTGTCCTGCACCTGTCTCTGATTCCCTGGTATTCTTGGCACACCCATTTACTTAGGAGCAAGTTCCCCTAGAATCATAGAAGAGCAGAGTCAGAAGGGGCCATGAAGGCCATCTAGTCCCACCCCTGCTGCTGCAGGACACCAAGTCACACTACCCCACTCAGGTGGCTGCCCAGTTTCTTTCTGAACAGCTCCAGGGTGGGAGAGCTCCCCTCCTCTTTGGGCAGCTGGTTCCACTGTCCTATTGCTCTGGCAGTGAGGAAGCCTTTCCTGATGCCCAGCCTGAATCTGGGTGTCCCAACTTGACTTGATTATTCCGTGTCCTGCACTCTGGCATTAGCAAGAAGAGACCTTGACCTTCCTCTTGTGACAGCCTTTGAGGTCGTTATGAGGGATATCGTGTCCCCTCTCTCAGTCTTCTTAAGGCTGAACATGCCCAGTTCTCTCAGTCTCCCTAAATATAGCTAGACTTGCTCCTGAGTAAACATCGATGGGATTGCGCTATGAAAATAATTTCTGTGGAAATCAGGGCTGGACCGCTTGAGCCAACCCCGCAGTCTGGGATAGGTCTCAGCTGGGGCCAAGGTGTCCGTCAGCCTGGGCAGTGCTCTGGGGAATTCGCAGGTCTGCTCCGGCAAGCACATTTCTTACATATTTTTGCCTCTCAGTAAGTAGCTGTCCTGTGTTCAGCTTAAGCAGAGCTGTGCTGAGCCACTTTGTCACCAGTATTTGCGCTGATCCTTCTTTCTGGTCCCGCATTCCAAGTATTGCCCGTGTCTTGCACAGATTATGCAAAGCAAAACCTAACAACATTTTTATTTAAAAAATAAATTTATTTTAATGAAACTAACCTGTTCAGTTTTTTGGTGCTGCACAACCTGGCCTTTGGAGCTACACCTTAAATCAACACCACTTGTAAATTTTGCTGGGTGGTGGGGAAAATGATTTTTTTCTTTTGGTGAGTCCAGTGGAAGCTGATTGCTCAGAAATGTAAAGGGAGGGAAAGAACGCTGAATGACGAGGACCACACAAAAGGAGCTCTTCTGAGCAGATTCAGGCCGGTGGCAGCTGTGCTGAATCGCCCACGGGACCATCCGGTCCAGCACGCCACACGCAAGGGAGCAAACCGGCTGCCCCGGGATGCGTGTGAGACCTCCATCCGCCCAAGGTCCTCGGCCACCGGTGAACGCGAGCAGGCCGCCTCTGGTGCAGGAGGGGGCACAGAGCCAGCCAAGAGGCTGCCTTCATCCCCACCCCACCTCCTGAAAGAGGATGTATTAACGTTCTCAGCGGCAGGATGCCTTGGGAGACAAATGTGGCAGACCTGTTTGCTGTCCACTGCTCGTCACAGTTGTTTCAACTGTGGCTGCCAGCCTTAATTGGCTTGATGTGTGGGGCAATCAAATTAAGCAACAGCTGAAGCGTGTTTCCCCAGAAGTAATTCCCATAGACTTCAATAGCATTTGCTCCCTGTCAGATATGCTTAGGGCAGCCTTCTGTGGCTTTTTTGTGTAAAGGGCAATGAGGAGGATGGGCCCGAAGGCCGCTGCGGTGTTGCTGCCTGGGGAGAGAAAAAAGAAATACTCCAGGTGGGCCCCCTTTCTCATTACAAATGGTGCTTCGTGCTTGGCTCCCCGTCCCTTCACTCACACCTGCACGGGCACAGGCGGTCTGCCAGGTCAGCGGCAACTGAGCAGCCACGGGGCCAGTGACTGCTCTGGCCACTTCACACACGACCAGGCTATTCCCACAGCCACCCCCACCCCCACTGTGCTTGTAGAGGGGGAGAGCATATGTGATGCAGCGGTTAAGAGCACTGGGCTGGGACGCGGGTGGGCCGGGTTCCAGTCCCTGCTCAGCCATGAAGCCCACTGGGTGACCTGGGGCCGGTCACAGCCTCTCGGCCCAGCCTACCTCACAGGGCTGTTTTGGGGTTATATAAGACTGAGAGCAGGAGGAGGAGACTCAAGTAAGCTGCTTTGAGTCCTTTGAAAGAAAAAAAGGTGGGATATAAATTTATAAATACATACGTTTATGCAAGGTATGCAAATCATTGTGAGGTTCTGAGGCAGTGTCAGAGCTCCCTCTGCTGGCCAGAGGCTGCACTAGCAGCCCTGGTGGTTGCAGGACTGGGCCAGTCCATTGTGGCCACCTGGGCTGTTATGCGCGTCACCTGGGAGCCCTGAGGGAACAGCTGTATAAGAACCAGCTCTGCCTTCCAGATGAGCCTTGGCAAGAAAGGTCTCTGGAGGTGTTGGAGGGCCCTGTGCCTTCTGGAACCTGCTTCTGGGAAGTCTGCCTGACGCCTTGCTCCCGCCTCTGCTTCTGGACCTTGCCCGACTTCCCGGTTTTCACCTGCTCCCCCTTCCACTCCATTCCCAGGTACCGCTTCTCCTCGGCTGGTCTCTCTGGCTTTCGACTCTGGACCGGCCTTGGCTACTCTTTGCCATTTGGACTGACGGACCTTGTCCTTCTGTTGCCAGCCTCAGCCTCTGGACTGCTTGACTGCAATTCAGCATATGCTCTCGTAGCGCACCGGTTTCTGGGTCCAGGCGCCCTGATCTGATATCCAGCTGCTCTCACCCTGGAGAGAGGTCCTTACTTGACCTTCAGGACAGGCCGGAAGCCCCCGTGATGGCTGCTGGCTGTGCACAGTCCTCGGGGCATCCCCTGGGCTGTGCACCAGCACCTGTGCGACGCAGCCGCACCCTGAGCCTGCTCTGGTGCCCTCACCCGGCGCCCGACTCAACACACGAGCCGTGCAGCGAATGCACATCCGCTTCTCCTTTTGCCTTAACATGTGCTGTGTGCGCAGACACGGGCCGCTTCCGCTCAAGTACCTTGTCCAGATTACTCCAGCTGAGTTTACACCTCGGCTCAAGCGGCTCTCTCGGGGCACGAGCTTGCCATTATTAATGCTTGGTGAAGCGTGGGGGTGGGGCAGGGTGCAACGCAATTCGTGGAACCCTTCTTGCATGTGTCTACTCAGAGGTACATCCCCCCCCACCCCCGGGTCCAATGGGCTTGCTCGTAAGTGTGCAGAATACCCAGCCTGGCCTAGCGTCTTAGTATCGTCATTTTAAACTGTGTGTGGTTTAAAATTACCTTTCTTTATAATTACCAAGGATCTGTCCATAATTACATTCTGTAACTATGCATAACTATTTTGCTAAATAATGTTTATTTCTGAAATATTCCAACATGCACAATGAGCACCAAGTAGACAATCATCTACAAACGCATTTGTTCTAACAAGCAAAGCTAATTAGCCACCTGGGTCAAAATTGAAATTTGAGCAGTTTGCAGAACTAAAAGACTGGTACATGATGCTGCGGTCAGCCTTACTTTTGCAAAACCTAAAGTGTTTTTTTAATGAAGCTACAGTGCTTCTCAATCTGTAAATAAGTATTTTTAAAAGCCAGCACCTTCTTGAATTAGGAAAATGTATGCTTCTTGAATGTAATAAGCCCAATAACATTTTTTTAAATGATGGCTCTTATAATTATGCATTTCGCAACACTCTCAGAACCATTTTTAAAGAGGAAGCTGAGAGGCACAGATCCAGGGATGGCCTAAGAGTCCTTTGCTGAGCTGGGACTATAAGCTAGCTTGCCAACTTTAGGTCGCATCAACAGACCCGTGTCTGCCTGCACCAAGACTTGCTTGCAGCATCGCCGCATGGGATACGAGCATTAAGGCCTGCCTTCATGGATGCGGAAGAGCGAGTCCTGCTTTTGCTGAAAGGCTTCTCCTGTGACCCTCGTGCAATGTTCTTTTAAGCACATCCATGTTGGGGTCACTTCTACGTTGAAGAGCGAAGGGACACTGGGGGGACGCTGGCCTTATCAAGCTCAAGTATGACCACACAGACCCAAGGGGCAGGGGCCCTGTGGTCCCCCGGATGCTGCTGGACCACAACTCCCACCATCCTTGGCCAGTGGCAATGCTAGCTGCAGCCAGAAGGGGATCTGGAAGTCCACAGGCTTGCCACCCTGACACGGAGGTAAGCGTTCGCTGTTCTCAGATGGAATCCCACGCTTGGGATCAACCCCAGGGAACACCGAGTCTTAGCTCTCACGATGGCGGAAGAGTCCTCCAAGCCAAATAAATGTGATGCCCCACCAGGTCAAAGCTCTCCTCTCGTCCTCATTTCACCTACTATGTGCAGGTACATTGCGGCGCAAAGGAGGAGCAATCCATCGCTCGAGAGCTGGGCTGAAATGCTGCGGTCGCCGCAGAGCGAACCTCTGAGCTTGGGGGGGGCACGGAGAGTCGCCCAGACCACCCTGCGCACCCCGCCAGAAGCAGCCAGCACGTCGCCACGTGCCCCGATGCGGCGGCGAAAGGAGGAACCGCGCAGCTGCCAGAGCAAGTGGGCAGCAGCCATTTCCCACATGCAGAAATACCTTATTTTGGTAGGAGGAGACCTGGAGATGCGAGCACGGCCTTGAGCAGGACCTGAGGTGCCCCACTGCTGGGGGGCGGGGCTGGGTTGACTATCAACGCCTTGAGAGCCTGCTTGTTCAAGGCTGGCCACAGAGCTGAGTGGCGGGTCAGGGTCAGGGTAGCCCTGGGGGCCTTCCCCCCCCCCGCCCGCCTCCATTGTGTTCCAAGTCCTGAGGAGGGGGGCACCCTTGCTGCCCCCAGGCTGCTAGGAAGCAGCAGCCACTGCCACCAGAACACAAAGTGGGAGAGAAATGGGGCCGTGGCCTCTGCTTCTCCCGGCAAGGACACGCCAGAGGGGCCTGGCGGGTGCAGGGGGGGCAGCCCCTCCCTCTGCCAAGGCACCTCAGGGCAAGCTGGGCAGGGGGAATGGAGCCTTCCAGCCACAGCTGCTTCCGAAGGCCAAAGAGCCGCCACCCCCCCCCCCCCCCCCGAAAAGCTTTGAACTGAGTCTTCCTTCCTGCTTTCCAATCATTCTCACATGCAATGCAAGTTCTGTGGTGATTCCAACCAATTGAAGAAGAAGATACTTCTCAGGCCAGCGGAACATAATCAAATGAACATAATGAAATGAGTCCTCCGTGGCCTGATGCGTTGCCATGTGATAAGGCACCTCCATGCTCAGGCTGGCAAGCGGGGTACCTCCAGGAGCGCACCTCCAACGGCCAGAGATCTCCTCTTCCTGCCCCGGACTGGCTCGGTGCTGTGTGACCGGGGGCGGATCTTCATCTCCGTGAAAGGGATGGAGAACAAGTGACCCTTCCATGGCTCCCAGTTAATTCCCTGGAAAGAGCAAGTTCACGGGGCGTGAAGGGGGTGCGAGGCCAGAGCAGGAAACCCCGCAGACCACCCACAGAGTTGCTCTCCTGCTGTCAGACCTGGAGCAGCTTCACCGGGGCTGAGCTTTGCTTCAGGGGGGCTTCGAGGACCCCCCTCCGCTGTTGGGACGGTGCCAGAGGCAAAGGGGGTGGGCCGAGCCACCAAAAATGTCAGCCTGTTTAAAAAGAGCTCTTCCTGCTTTTCTCCCTCGGGCGTTTCAGAAGCAGGAAAGCCCCCAAGCAAGGTGTGCTAGGAGGAAGCACCCCTCGCCGCTGGCTCCGGATCGGGCCCTCCAGCCTGCAGCCCTAAGGTAAGGGGAGGACGTCCGGAGGCCGGGAGGGAGCGGCAGGTGAAAATGACACTAAGCGACACTGCCAGAAAAGCGTCCTGAGCGCAGCTCATCCGCTCCGAGTGCAGACGGGGTGGCCATGGGGTGGCCATGGGGTGGCCATGGGGCCCGCTTGCTGCCACCCCCCTTTGTGGCTGCTGCGCCTCAGCCGGGGCACCGCGTGCCGCAGTGATCCTGCCGCGACTTGCTGAGGGAGGCGTGGACAGTCCTGGCGAGAATGATGGTCACACCCACTATTTATGTTTTATAGGGATTATAAGTGTGGTCCGTCGCTATGACTTTAGAAAGTGAGGAGGACAGAGGATCAGACCAAAGGTCCATCCAGTCCAGCACTTCGTCCACGCGGTGGCAAACCGGCTGCCCGCAGGACCCCCCCGCGGGACGGGTGCAAGACCTCCTCCCGCCCAAATTCCTCAGCCACTGGTGCACGCAGGCATACCGCTTCTGGTGAAGGAGGGGGCACACGGCCAGCAAGGCTGGTCGCCACTGACAGCCACCTCCGCCATGAATCTGCCAGTCCGCCTTTAAAGCCATCCAGATCGGCGGCCGTCACCACTTCCCGTGGCAGCGAATTCCGTAGTTTTACTGTGTGTGACGTGACGGACTTCCTTTTATCTGTCCTGAATCTCCCACCCATCAGCTTCATGGGAGGACCAGAGTTTGGGTGTTACGGAGATGGAAAACATGCATTCTTTCAGCTTGGGCATCTGGAGCCTGCGAATGTGGGCACTGGCTCACTTTGCCAGGTGTTTCATTTGATGGCACAGCTCTGCCTTCGCCTCCGCCCCCGAGGAGGCGGAGATGCTGGGTGAAGTCATGCTCAGCCAAAGCTAAGCACTGTGAAGTCCTGCCGGTGTTAGTGTGCTGTCTGTTTCTCCTTCAGAGAGCGTGTAAGGCCCCATCTAAGTGTGGATCTTTTGGCTGTTGGAGTTCCGACAGCCCTGGCATTATAATTATCCTATCTTGAGAATAATGGAAATGCTCTTCCTGTCCCTAGCAGATGTTGTGCTGAGATGCATGTGCTGAGGACAGTGTGTGGCTGAATATTTTTTTCCATTACCTGCAGCCTAGTTATGGAGCGCAAAAGTCCCAGTGCACCTGCAGTCAGCAACAAGAGAGCAATTGTATGGCTCCCGTTAATTAACCTTGACTGAATGTGCAACAGTTTGCATGATGATAAAGAAGGAAACATTCTTTGCTTTGAGCAGAAGCAGATATGCATCATCAGATATCATACTGAAAGAAGCATTCCTTGCTATGTGAAAAAATGGGGAATTATTCTTATAAGATGGTCCCTGCTGTCCACACTACTTTTAGTGAGAAAATTGTTTATTTTTAAACCTGTTGCCAGATTAATAGGGTGGATTTTCAAAAGAGTAAAAGTATTCTAATTCATCCAATAAAATAAATCAATTAAACCCTGCAGGTCCTAGTGATGATTCCCTACCAAAATTCAGCATCAGGAGAGGACAGAATAAAAGGGTTCCATATTCTGTCCATTGTACAGGCGGTTCCAATCAACTCACAAGCGGCACACGAAAGTCCCTCAGGTTGGCAGGACTGGCAGCCTGTCAGGCAGCTGGCAAGTGGCGCAACGGAGGAAAGAAAGAGCCACAAGACACGTACAGAGCTCGGAACTCACCTCACTGTGCTTGTTCTCTCCGTATTTGCCATTGAGGTTGGCCAAGTGGCAGTTCTTGTACCACCAGCCGCCGTGGTGAGCTATCGCGCAGTTGCTGATAGCGATGTCGTTGTCTCTGTCCCAGGTGGTGAATTTCCAACCGTTGTGGTACGTCAAGGCATCCCCTTCACCAGCAGAGAACAAGAATGTTATAACCGGGGGAACGCGTTTGATCCCGGACATAAAAGATGCACCCTCTCAGCCAGGCGGTTTGGAACGACAACTCCCAGCATCCTTGGTCAAAACATCTGGAGGTCATCATAGTGAGAAGGGTTGCCGTAGAGGCATCAGGATTGCAAAGGACACATTTATACAATTGCATGGCATCTATCCAAACAAAATGGATAGAAAAACACGTGTGATTCTTTAGACAGATGATAGAAGAGTAATCTGCTGCTAGTAGACTGTATTTATTCCTAGCATTTATGTGAAGCTATCCAGAAATACTGGAAGAAAATCAGTCAAAATATTATACAACAGTTACTCCCTTCCAATTCAAAACTGTCTCTTTTTGCTCTTCTGAAAAGATATTTAGCAATAGATAATAAATCTAGTTAATAGCATATAATAATTATATTAATAATACCAAAAGCCCAGGAACTTCCTACTAAAAACAGGGTTTGGGGAATTTAGGATACCATTAAACTGATGAAGTTAACAAATTTGGTTAGTGGAGGGAAGACTTCAAAGATGCTTTTCCATGAAAAGAATCTCTTAACTATGGAAGAGCTACCTTTGGTTGGATGGGTAATACAGAAACGTCACCGGCTCCTTAAATGAAGCACCAGGACCATTTGGAAAAAGCAATATTGTCGATGCTATTCTTGTCTTGTTACGCACTGTCGGTGCATTGGTGTTGTCTTGCACATGAAACTCTTTGTAGGAATATTACTGCTTCTGCGTGGAGTACAAAGCATTGTCTGTCTGCAGACGGCTCATAAACCGGTTAGACCGTGCCCTCTTTAACACATTCCTTGCCCAGGGCTGGGATGCAAGGTGCTACAGCGAGCAGAAACAAGGAGCGATGCTTACCAGCAGTGCCTCTGTACTTCCCCACAGCAAGCCTGTATCTGTCCTTGCTGGACCCCACCTGGAAGAGGTCATAGACCGCGTGGACAGACTCGTTGTGGGTGCGCAAGTCCACCCTCAGCTCATACGGAATGGGCGCCGCACCGGTGAGCTCATGCAGCTTTTCGAGGCCTGAAAGAAACAGTCCAGAGGGATCCTAAGAGAGGCTTGCAAATGTGAAGACGCTGGGGAGCCGATGGACACAATCCGAGGCATGCGGAGACTGAAAAAAGCCTTCCAACACCCAGCACGCCTGAGCCAGGATTGTGCCTGTCTGGCTTGGGAACTTTTGCAAGTTAATTACCGCAAACCCCCAAATCTTGGTGTTTGGGAAGAATACCAGTGGAAATTAGAGGCTCCTTTGCTGGGGCAGGTTGGCTCAGGTAAACATTTAGGTGTGACATTTAACTCGTCTGGATCCTGCTCTGCTCTGCTCATCTGAAGGTCACTGCCCTGGCAGCCAGTGCTGTCCCTAACTTTATTTTTCACTCCTTGGATGGACCCCACCAAGGGGGAAGTTCGTGGTGCCCTCTTTGAGCAACGTTAGGGCAAGTATTATTCCAGCTCTGGATGGCCCGCTGTGCTGGCCCACTCGGCTGTCGCAGCCCTGAAATCTGAACCGCGGACGCTTCTGCCTGGAGCCCTGGAAATGGCTCCCAAAACAAGTGCCCAACATTGTTTCACGGGAAGCGTTGCTTGCAAAGCAGCTGTTTATTTTTGGCTTCAGATAATTTTTCAGTAGGCCCCTCTTCTTGTTTTACTGGCATCTGAGGACTTGGGGGCCACCAAAATGCATCTGAACAGGGACTCTGGATTGGCTACTGGATTGCAAGGAGCTGCATGACTTATCAATGCTGGCTCTTCCTTTAGTAGCCGTGTATCGTCCCAACACGCTCTGTGAGGAGTTTCTAGCCTTCCCTGGGCAAACGGCACACGGTTTCAACACCTCTTAACTCAACGAACATTAAAAGCCCTGTAAGTAATAGAGATGAAGGGACCTTTATAGGGGCCAATTTTGTTTGTTTGTTAAGCTTTTATATGCCATCTAATACTAAAAAGTCTCTGGGTGGCTTACAAAAAAATTTAAAAAACCACAGCAACCACATACAACGAACAACACACAATTTAGGGTGAAGAGACCATGGTCCAGTTGGTTGGTAAAAGATCTGCCTTGCTTTCTTTTGGAATGAACTCCTTTTAAAACAAAATGTTATTTTCATGGCAGGGCAGATTGTTTTCTGCCCTGCTAAGGACATTAAGATTGGGAAAAGGAAGCATTTTATCTTGACAGGTGATCAAATAGGCCATTGAGCTATTTTCAGGAACTGTAAATTTTTACTATGCTATCAGTTGCTGACAGTAAACTATGGTTTAGTTTTCTGTTCATATATTTAGCCTAACTGGTTATATGTTAAGACTGTAACTTTCTCCCTTTGTAATGCTAGTCTGATGTATATCAAATGCTGCCTGTCTCTCAAGCAATACTCTAAGCTGAGCCCGACTGCGGGCAAGATCATCTGCACTGTGACAGAGGCCTCCGGCAGCTCTGGCTTCCCCCTCAGGGACCTGAGAGAGAACCAGAACCTCCCTGCCGTGGGGCCAACCAAGCCACCTCTCCGGGCTCAGGAGGTCACCTGGGGAAAGGGGAAATTCTCCCCCAGGTCGCTGCAAAGATCCAGGCACCTCTGGCTCAATTTCTAGTATCCCGAGGGAAGGGATGACCGCTGACCAATGAAAATGTGGAAAACGTTCCTTTCAGCCCCAACCCATGCTGCCTGCCGGAGAATATCCCTGGCTGTGTGGATCTAGCCGTGTGCAAAGTGCTGCTCCTCACCTGGCATTCGCTCCCGTCCCCACAGGGAACCCGAGAAGGGGTCTCGCTCCCCCATGCGGAGGAGCACCTGGCAGGTGAGGGAGCCTGCTGCAAGGCGGAGGGCCGGAGAGCTGCAGAGAGGCTGCAGCACAGGCCAATCGAGGACAGGAATGGCTCCTGGGCTGCTGGCTGGTCCTTCCTGTTCTCGAGCACAATCCTGGGTCAGGTGTGGTCAAGCAAGGCTTGGGAGGGCTGCAGCTGAACTCAGAATATGCTCCTGAATGGACTTGCATGGAACCCTTTGCCAGGTGCAGCCAAAATGCTCAACCAGATGGGGAAAAGTCTCCATGAAAGTAAGAATGTCAAAGTCGGTGTTTGAATCCATCAAAAACTGCACCTCCTCGCCAAAGGATTACGTGGCCATTTGGGGGAATTGAGAAAATGTCCCCAGCACTACCACAAAATGGCTGAAAAGGGAGGCAGGGCAAAGGACGAGTCACTTCCTCGAAGGACTGAGTCGGGCCTGAGCCCATCACACGATGCAGCTCCTCTGCGCTTGAAGTTTTCTGTGCCAACAGAAAAGCCAAAGGTGCTTGACTCCAAAGTGGGAGGGTGGGGCTCTGCAGGGCACCAAGCAAGGTGCACGAAGGTGCCTGCAGGTGTCCCAGTGCCCACATCCCGTCTGGGTCTTGATGAGGTCAGACAGACGGAAGGCCTTGCGTTCAGCCCCGGGCCAGGCCAGGCCAGCAGGCCCCACCGTCCAGGGAGGCCCGAAGTGGAGCTGCCCCGCCGCCCCCTCCTAGGCCCAGGGGCCCTCTGGGGAGATCGGGTGCCCGCGAGAGTTGCAGCTTTGCTCTGCAACAAGCCCAAGCGCTTCCTTCTGCAATGGAAAGGGGCCGGCTGCACCACGGCCCAGCCAGCAAGGGATGGGCTGAGCAGAAGGCACAGAGGAGCCGAGAACGGGCGCGCTTGCAAAGGGGATATTGCCCCAGACCTGCGAGGACTCCTTGCTTCGGGTGCTTGCTTCGGGTCCAGCCAATGCGAGGGGGAGGCTGCCCGCCTTCCGCTTGCCCTGGGACAGGACGGCAGCTGCCTCTGAGGTCCCCCATCAGCTACGCAGGCCAGACGGACTGGATCGTCTTAATATCTGGATTAACGATGGGGCTTTTAAAAGGCTTGCTCACCCACCCCGCCCGACCAGCCACAGTTACATGCGGAATGCAGATACTGTACCAAGCCAAAATTCCCCACTGGGGTCCCCAAAGCCTTCCACGTAATTCCTCCAGCGCTTGAAGAAGTCGAGTTGCCCCGAGTTCCTCCTCTGAATAACCTGCAGAAGCAAGCAAAGACCAAGTGATGCACCTGGCACACCGAATACTGATTTCTAAATACTGAATAACAACGCTTTATTGCAGTGGAAAACTGGAGACAGGCAGACTGGTGGATGAGAGCCATAGAGATAAAGATGTAAATTAAGGAGGTTCAAGGCAGTGCAACTAAGAATTTTGTTTTTCTCCTCTTCTGAAATCCCCCCTGGATTTGGGGTTTCCAAAACATCCAGACTTGTTTTGGAACAACACGAACACATCAACAATGGACACTTTTCTTTTCCTCTGGCGGCGGAAGGACTTGATTCAAGCTTATGAACAAGGAACTTCAGCAAACGGCACATTTCACCTCCTGCTTTACATGTTATCAATACGCACGAGCACATTGATTGCATCACAGAAAAAAGCAGCCCTTGTATCATCTCTCTTTGTGCAAAGTTCTAATCGGCTCGCTTCTCAGAAGCATGTAAAAGCGGCAGGAGGTTGGCGGAACTGGAAAACTTCATCAGTTGCATCATGCATTTAAAAAGACTCCTCCAGGTAAAACACCTTCAGAAGGTGAGCGGGACAAAGCGCTCTGCTTGCGCTCTTGCGCTCCTGCCCATCACGGCCAACTCCCAGGACACATCGAAAGGGTGGGTGTGCACCCTGACCTGCCCCTCCCTCCCTGCCTGCATCGTGGAGACCTGCAAGGCACTTCGGATGCGTTGGCCGCAACATCGGCGGTGCTGGGGAAGGTGCAGCTCACACACAAGGAAAAGGGCGGGAGGCTTCAGGAAGCAATTCCAAAGAAAGGGACTTGGAAAGGCCCGGGAGAGCAGCGCCCTCCCGAGCCGCACTCACGAGCCACCCGCCTCTGTCGGTGGTCATTTCACAGTACACCTTCACGGGCCGGTTCGCATCGCCACTCAGGTAGATGGTAAAGATGCCGCTGGTGGAATGCCCGTTTTGCTGGATCTGGCTGCAGTCGGCGGGGAACGGGTAGTGCAAGCTGACTGCAGAAACAGAGCAGGAGAGAAGCCCCATCAGCAGCTCCAGAAGGGAAGCAAGAACCCGGAAAGGGATTTGAGCTGGGCGGCATGCCACTACGGTCAGAAATACAAAGTTATCTAGAATTCTCTGTGCTGATGAGAAGAGTCTCTCATCTCCTTCCCAAGCAGGGCTTTGCAGACTGCTAGCATTCTTGATTATAAAAACCTCTGAAGGGTCAGCGCTGAGAAGTCGCTTTCTGCCCAAAGACCAGCCCTCCGTAATCCAGTCGCTTGACAATTGGTCTACCGAACAAGTCTAAACCCACCGTTACATGAAGGTGTCACTTTCTAGTTCTAAGCTAAGCAAATGTTGCATGAAATTCTGGAATGCCTGTGGCCGTCTGCAAATGCTGTCCAGTTAGCCTTATCCTGAATAGCCACTGCCACACAAATCTGAGATCTGGGCTGCTTTTTTTTTCAACCAAAACAGGCCATTACACCTTCACTAATTCCCAGAAAGAGTCTACCTCTCAGCCCCCAAGTCCATCCTAGGGAGCCAGGGGCAAATCCACCCAGCTTGATTTAGGACCGGGCTTGGCAAACAAGCCATGCGAAACCCACCCATACTCAGAACGCCATGGATTCTGAGCCCAGGTTGGCTCCATCATGTTGCTGGTGACATCATCAAACGCTTGCTTATAAGAAATCAACATGGCTGTTTTGTGCTTATGGTTTTCAGTTGCATATTTTCCTACTAAGATTCCTTCCAGCGCAAATTACTTCTAATGCAGGAGACCCTGAAATGGAGAATAAAATCCTGAAATCTTCAGCTGAAACCCTGAGACCAAACAAGCTGTACCTTGACCTCAAGTCTTCTCCCCAAATCTCTCTGTGGGCCATGGATTCACACTCCTCAGAAGACTAACACAGATTCACCACCCATTTTGAAGAAAAATAGAAATCTTTCTGCAATTATCAAGGCCTACCTGTAGAAAATGTTGTGGTGGCTTTTCGACTCCAGCGGTCTCCCTTAAATGCCGTAATATATACGATATATTTAGTACCTCGAGTAAGGCCTTCTAGCATAAACTTTTGGTTATTTGGACCTAGTCGCACTTCCTGCCACAAAATGTAAAGAAAAACTAAATATTAGATTTCTGCTCCAGCCTGTTCTGTCCTTCCACCCATTTGTTAATTAGCTGTTCCCTGTGAGAGCTATCCTGGAGAAAGAGAAAGGATTGCCTCACCTTTAACTTCTGAAAGCACAACTGTTTTTAAAAGGCTGCTAACCATTTATTTTCATTGTTTCAGTTCTGTGCTGATTTGAAGATGATTTGAAATGGTTTCAGTACCTTTCTATTGTTCTACACACCAATTGTGCAGTGGGCTAGAAAATTAAACTGTAACAGCAGGCAAAAGGGCGATGAGAGTGGGAACCGAGAAGGACTCTCTTGGTACTACACTGGCATTGCTTCCTTCTCCTGCAGAGTTTCCAGAGACTCTGGAAATTTCCTGGATGCAGCGCAGGGAGCTTAGCTTGGCTTTGGATTGTGAGAATTAAGCAGTCGCTTTCCTGGATTGGACGGTGTCTTCATAGTGTGATATTAGTTCTGTTCAGCATTTTACTTTGCTGCCAAACAGTGAAATATACATTGTCCATATCCTGAAGCCAGAGGGGGTGGCGGACTGAGGATCAGAATGCATGGCTGCCCTCCTTCAGGGATGATAACAGAGAATGAATCCTAGGCAGGAGCGCTTTTGAAAGAAGCCCTTCGAGCTGAAGCACATCCTTCTCTTTGGGACTCATTGCACCACGGGCAAGCAACTTATGGCCCTCCAGATGTTTGGCCTACAACACCCATCATCCTCTTCAGCACTGGCTAGGCATGCTAGGGCCAAAATATCTGAAGGGACCTACATTGCCTGCCCTGCATTACACCTTTCAGGAATACATGAGAGGGCTTGTGGCTACCGGGGCGGCGTATTTATTTAGTATTTATTTATTTGGATTATTTGTATGCCGTCCCATCGCACAGCCTTGGGACAGCTTACATAAAATAACATAAAACATAATACAAATGCTCGCATAGGAACAGAATAAAGAAATAAAGACCAGACTGACGTTTACACGGTGCCTCCAAAAATGTAAAATTTAAGGGCATGAAACAGGCTTGCAAGGCCCGGAGCTACTTGCTGAGCGTAACTCCGGCGGGAAACCTGGGCTCGGTGCTGAGCAATGTCCGGCCAGCCACTGACAAGCCCGTGGCTCCTTGAACGGCTGGCTTTTCCAATCTCATTCATTCGCACAGTCGTCTGCAGACTTACCCGGGTGGTGCCATCCGGCTCCTGATAGGTGAGAAGGTATCCACTGATCTGAGCATCAGGTGGCATCCAGGTGACTACGGCACTTGCCTGGGTCACATCGGAGACACCGACGTTCCTGGGAGGGTCAATTTCTAGGCCAAACACAAAGCAACAGGAAACCCAGAATCACTTGCTGTGACCATTCCCAGGCACATCAGGCGCCTGTTTTGGTTTGGCTGCCCGGGTTCGTAAGACAAGCTTGCCAAACAAGCGGCTGGAATTCTCACCCGCTCTCCCTGCGTCCCTCAACGGCTGGACAGTCCAGGGCCAGCCCTGGGTGGCCCCTTTCTAGGAGAGAGCATTAGGAGCCCTGCAGCTCAAGATGAGTGAGTGGCAAAGAGCAAGGAAATCCCAAGGAATGCAATTTTTAGAAAGCAGGAACGAGGCCCGTGCAGAACGCAATCGCGAAAGCAAGGAGCTTGTGCACAAATCCACCATCAGGCCTTTCCATTACAATGCCCCCTCCTCCCTGCACACCAGCTTTGCACGTCCTAGCAACCTGCACCATCTCTCAGATGCAGGATAAGACCTTGCCTCCATCCCTCTCTGCAACCACAGCAACGACGGCAATGCCCAAGCACAGGGCCCAGCTAGGTAAACGTGGGTTTGGTATCTTCAAAAGTAGATGATGTCTCCCCGCCACAACCAATCCCAGGAATTGTGAGCAAGGAAAATGTATAGCTGTTAAACAGGTTATTGTAAGGAAAAAGACACATTAAACGCACAGTTCTTCACATCTGGACAGCAGAGGGAGCTGCAAGACACCAAGAACGTCTCTCCTCGGATATGTCGGTTAGCCGCATTCAACACAGCTGGACTGGAGGCCAAGCTCGAGTGCCTTCTGTCTCCAAAATAAGCACCATACAGACAGGAGCACTGACGGGTCTATAAAACCATTTTCTTCCTGCCAGTACTGGGAGGATCCCACAAAGATATTTTCCAGACCAGTAAACACTGTTCATGCGACACAGAAGCAAATTGCTCCGACGGCAGGGAGCAGATGAGCGGCTGTCCAGCGGATCTGCTGCCTTCAGGCCATCAAGCTTACTTGATGCCTGTTTCCTTTTCCATGGCCCCTGGGGCTCATGCAGCATTTCCTGTTCTCTGACAAACAACTCAGTTTTAAATAATACTTTGATTACCCCTTTTTTTACAGTCATTGTGGTCTCGCCACTTGCTCATTTATTATATTTTAATTGGCACAGTTGCATTTTAATGAAGAACAAAACGATTTTTATTTACCAGAATGGGAATTAGCAAACAGATTTAATCTAAGCCTGCCTTGTTACATATATAGCTGTCCTTGCCTTCGTGGCATCCTAGAGAAGCGGAAGCTACAACGGGACCATGCCTGTTTCTTTTAGGGCCGAGTACCAGCTCCGTATGCTACATCTGCCCTGCCCTTTTGGGTCACAGATAAAGCAGGTCCCACTTGGGGAATTTAGTGGGCCGGTTTTACTGGAGAGACTTTCCTTACAGCCTCCCTCTCGTTCAGCATCAGTTGATTATACAACCTTCTCTTGAGACCTCCAGGTGTTTCTGTTTGTCGCCCTTTTTCACAGCAAACTATTTTCTCGTGGGGAGTCCCGCAGGGTACAGCAATTATCTCTCAGCAGGGGTTAATGCTTGTTTCCGGGTGGATTAAATTAGCTGAGGATAAAGCAGGGTGAGGGCAGGAAGAAAGCAGATGCATTCCAAACATGATGCTGGAAGAGGGCTTTGTGAAGATGCAGGACTAACACTAAGATCTGGCGAGTGGGTTCTGGATACAGTCAGGCCAGGCCTTTCCTTGGAAGCAAACATGACAAAGTTGAAGCTGCGCTACTTCAGGTACAGCCTGTGAAGGCCAGGCTCCTTGGAGGAGACAATAATGCCAGGAGGAGGAGGAGGAGGAGGAGGCGGCGGCGGCGGCGGCGGCAACCAGCCATGAGATGTATGGAGTCCGTAAAGGAAGCCACAGCCTTGAGTTTACCAGAGCTGAGCAGGGCTGTGAAGGCCTGGACCTTTGGGAGGGCCCTTGTCACACCCACCCAAGCCGTGAGCTATTTGTCTGTTCACCGGGCTGCCAGGTGACTTGACAGCACGTAACAACAGCAAAGTGGGGAAGAGAGGTAGGGAAATGGCACTGCCAAGTGACAGCAAAATAGACAGTCTTGTGGCACTTTCGTGGAGGTGGCAGAGGCCCCATCGTGTGGGTGTTCAAGGATAGGCTGGACATGCACATGGTGGGCATGTCGTGAGCGGAGCCGGCTGGAGCCGGGGGCCAGACCCCTTCTGACTCGCTCTGTTTCTACGTTTCTATGTACATTTGTCAGCCTTGAAGCTGCCACGAGAGTCTTTGTGGCTTTTGCTGGCACAGACTAATATTGCTACACCTCTGGAAATGCTTTGTCAGAAAGCATGTCAGTCCAAGCTCCTGTCAAGCGTCCCATGAGCCTCTTTGGCTACTGGAAGATAAGAGACGCCTTGCTGTTCTGTCAGATTTCTCGGTGGCTCCTTCCCACCTCTAAGCGCAGAGCTTGCTTGCGGCCAGTCCAGACCCTGTAATGCAGAGCCAGCACTCAGACCTTCTGGGGTCCCACCAGCTCCCCAGACAGCTGCATGGGCTGCCTCCACCGCCTTAAAGGGCTCCATATTCTTGACTCATGGCGGGAGAGGAACCGCCGAGATAGCGCATGGGCCACAGTACCGCAGCGGTGGGCTACCTGTTTCAGCTTTCGTGCTTGCCTTCTTGCTCTGCTGGCTCCCCTTCACAGCCCCGACGAAGATGGCGTACTCCGTGCCCGGCTTCAGGCCCACGAGGGTGGTGCTCCTCTTGTCCTTGCCCACGGTCAGCTCGTTGGTGTGGCCATCGAGCGAGGCGTACCTCACCACGTATCTGTCTATGGGGGCTTGGGGCCCGCTCCAGGAAATGGTGGCCGTGCCCTCTGTCACCTGGCTGGTCGTCAGATTGGTGGGGCCGTCGATGGCTGTGAAGGGCATGAGGGCTTTCTGTTAGGACAATGCTTCTACCAAGATTTCTAGGAAGCATTTCTTCCAGGCCAGCGCATTTTGTTGCCTAAGGGTAGGATAAAAAACCCAAATGGCACTCCTCAGCCTAGCCATTAACAAAAGCCACACGCCAAACTGTCAAAAAAGAATGCCAGAGACCTCTAGATGAGCTATTGTGTGTATTTTAGGGCTTTTCAGATCAGAAATTGTGAGGCAAATATGAGGTTTAGGCAATAACACTCTGAAAAAGAAAGCAAGCCTCAGAGAGAACAGACACTTGTCTTTAACTGTGAAATAAGGGCCACGTGACTTTCTAAAGAGAAACAGAAAACTCAGAAAAATCAACCATACTATTCACGATACTCTGCCTACCATTGCTAGCATCTTAGGGGAGGAGGGGGAGAAGCAGCTATCCAATTAACATGAGGGCAAGCCTCGTGAAATTAGTCTTCCAAGTAAGGAAAACTTCATTACATGATTGCACTATTATGCAAAGTTCAGTGGAACAGCAGTATTCTGAAATAAGAACTGGCAGAGACATACAATTCATTTACTCCTCACAGAGTAAAATTATTCCCAAGACATTCCAGTTGAAACTAAATACAGTAGAACTGAATTTATGACTGCTCACTCATAGGGGAAATGTCTCTTAATGCAGAGAATGTGTAACGGGGAGAAGGCTAGGAGCCCACAAACCCATTTAATTCGGGACTGCGCCTTCTGCAGCACTGCTAAACTTCAGAACAACTGAGAAAAGGGTTTCTGCGTCAGGGCTAGCTGTAATACAGGCAGGTGTGCTAACAGTGGTGCAGAGTCACTACCTGTCCTTCCATGCACTGAAGAAGGCTTCCCTTCCGTTTCGTCTTTCACAGGTACGATGGTGATCTTGTACTGCATTCCTGGCTTCAGACCTACAAAGAGCGGGGAGCAGGGGACACGAAGAGAAAAAAAAATCCTTTGAGACACATCCTTTTCTTTGGGGACCTGTATGGGGCTTGTGTTTCAGAGCCCTCGTTTTTTTTTCCTCTGGGATATGTCGAAGCTTATCTTTGGAAAACATACTTGCTAGAAAGGTAAGATTCCACCTTAATTCAATGTATCATTGGTTAGTCTTGAACCAATGCCTCTGCTTTCCGATTTGTTTCCAAGTCTAATTCAAAGTGCTGGCTTTGATTTTAAGGGCCCCAAAGAGTTTGGGGCAGGCCTTTAGAAGGTCCACCTCCTCCCACAGGAGACTGTCTGTAATCTATTATCTTAAATAGAGGACTTCCTGAACACCCCGCCTGCAAGAAAGGCTAGGTGGGTGGGCACACAAACAGGGCCTTTTCTGTAGCGGCACCATGATTTTAGAACTTGCTCCTGAGGAGGATCAGTGGGGTCCATCTCTACTGAATGTTAGACACACAGACTGCACCGTTTTGCCAGGGTTAGGGTTAGGGCCATTACAGCCTTTTGATGGCTGTAATGTTGTTTTCACTTGCTTACAATGTTTCATTGCTCCTTTTATTCTGCTGTGACTGTATTGTATTACTGTATTGTTTTAAACAATAACAATCACTCTGAGCACAAGAATAAAATACTATTAATTCATGATATTCTTTTGGGCTCCCATGAATAACAGGAAGGGCAACCTTTATCCCCGAGGCAGGGACAGTATGGAGAGGGCTGGATTTGGCTCCAGCAAACGGGGAAGAGCTTCACCTTCCTCCCAGGGAGCCCAAATGCACAGAAGCATTCGTCCAGGAATTGGTGGGAGTGGGCACCTCCTTCAGGTGGGACACCCGTGTTGAACGAGGGTTACCACCCATCCATTCCTTCCTTCCTTGACGGGAGCGTGCGCCTTCCCTTCACAAGTCCCTCCAGACCGGTCTTCTCTGCGCTTCTCAGCTTTTGTCACCACCTGAAAACTTCCCAAAATAATTTTATTTCTCAGCTTTGGTTGAGAGCCTGCAGGACCTTTCTGTTCACTCAGAATTGTTCTGCTGGCTTTACTTTTATGTTTTCAGACTGTTTGGTTAAGGGGACACCCAGGGGAAGCATGCCCAGATTCTCCAAGCAGTGAGAAGTTTCAGAAGTTCGAGCACTTACCCAGGTTCAGCCTTGCATTATTTTGTGATACTTGTGTTTTATTTATACATAAGCATAGGAAGAGGAGCCATTCCAGAGTTGGATTTCTAGTGGGGCAGCGACGCCCTCTGGGGCACCACAAACCCCAGTGCTCTTGATCCCTGTCTCCTGCGTTGCTTCCGATCCAAACACCTACTGACATGTTCGTGGGCATGGCTGGATGACATTATTCCCAGAAAAGGGAACAGAGAGTCTGAGAGGGGACTCCTTCCAGGATACTTGCTGGCCACTGTTAAAGCCAGCTCATTTCCTTGACAAATGAAAAGTACTTGACTGTTGTTCTGGGGTCATTATGATAATTCCCAGCGGTCTGGCTAGTTCTGTTAACCCTTCTCCTGTCCAAGTCCCAGTCTTACAGTCAAGAAACAGAGGGCCACAAGGGTTCCTCAAAGAATAGCTAGTCCAACCCTGAAACCACAATAGTGCTTTGCATGTTTGTGTAGTTCTCTCTCGGAGAGTTCTCAAGTCTCTGGAAAAGCCAACCCCCAGGACTGCATCCAGGTTTACACAGGATCAACAATGCCAGTCGAAGTGGATTCCCCTGCCATCTCCTTCCCACAGGAGGCCCTCCAGACCCCTGCTGTTTTGGCAGGGCTCCACAAGATTTTAACAGGGATAGATGCAACCATTTGAACATTTGGCTACCAGCTTGATACTTACCAGTGATGACATATCTGCTCTTGGCATCTCGGCTTTTGGGGACAAAAACCTCCTCCTCCTCCTCCTCCTCCCCAAGCAGGGAACTGAACCTCAGCTTGTAGCGATCAACCCCTGTCGGGGGATTCTCCCACTCCACCTCCAACGAATTCTCTGTCTCCCCTGTCACCCAGATAGGGCCGACGGCAGACACAGCTAGAAGAGAAAGAATCACCAGTAGCTTTGCAAAACTGGGTATTATTACAGCCCATCTGCTCTTCCAAGTGTTCATTAGAAGATAACTTTGGGATACGGATGCAACGGAATGGATGGGACATGAGAAAGAAGGGAGGCTTTTGCATGAGCCGTTTTCCCAGTGTCTGTGTCGCTTCCCCAGTAAGCCTCTTGGGATTATTCTGCAGCTTCTGCTACTACTGTGTGTGTTGCCATCTTGGGGTCTGAGCCATGATGTAGCTCTGACGGCACTACAGCATGTCCACTAACAGAAGGAATATGCCTACACAGAGCAGTTGCCGGGAAGGTGGGCTGGAGGCTGCCCTGGCCCTCCTGTCCTGCTCATGGGTTTCCTGTGGGCTGTTGGTCAACCGCTGTGTGAACAGAATGCAGGACTGAGGGAACCCTTGGTCCAATCCAGCAGGCTCTTCTGGTGTTCATTGTGATGGGACACATCACGCTCGCACGGTGAGCATGAAACGACAAACCAGAGTACGAGTTGAGTGAGGGTTGTCTTTACCTGCAAATCTTGCACTATGGTTTAACTATGGGTTGTTAGCCATGAACCTCCCAGAAAGAGAATTGATGGCTTATTGTTGGCTTGTGAACTCTAGGTTGTTTGTAGTTAACAACCTATAGATAACCATTGTACAGGGTAACGTACATAATAACAACCATCAGTCATTGACATCTCTTATTCAGCCCAGACTCTGGGATGTCGTTACAGATGAACCAAGTCATAGGATGAATGTGTGCTTTGTGCATTCAAATATGTCTTGTACAGTGAAGCAACAAACTCATGTTTGTTTAGCACTCAGTCCCTAGGTACAGATGTCATCATGGCCATAACTTTTTTCAGTCCAGAAAAAAGTTTCTGCTAAACGTAGTTAGCAAAACCCAAAGAAATCGGTAGGGTGACTGAACCATAGTTTCTGACTGCACTTTGCCAGTTGGGAACAAAGCAAGATTTGTAAATTCAGACCTCATGCCAAAGTATAAGTAAACCTCTGTGAACGCAGTCAGAACAATGCCCTAACTTTTAAGAAACCCCCTTTTCTACCTTTAGAAGTGAGGCAGACATTGCAGATCGTAGGGGGACTCCAGCGTTCCTACCTGTGCTTGCCTGCAGGAGCTCCGGATCACTGGAAACCCCCTTCTTTACATTGCGAACTGTGATGACGTACTTCGTGCCCGGGACAAGCTGCAGGATCTCATGGCTGTGCTGATCCTTGGGCACACGCACTTGCCTCACACTCGCCTCGCGCCCCACAGGAAAGTAGCTGAGCAGGTAATAGTCCACATCCATCCGCTTATCCCAGCCGACGGCCAAGGAGTCCTCCGTGGTCTTGAGGAGCCGCACGTTCCAGGGCGCCAGCACTATGGCGGAAAGGGACAGCGCTCAGAAGGGAGGCTGCCCGTGAGTTCGACAATGTCGGAACGAGGCACAGGATGCCCGCGCTTGCTCTGGGCGGCTTGCTGAATCACACCAGAACTAGAGTTGCGTTTATTAATGGCAACCATGTGCCAAGACTGTTTATAGTTGAGATTTATCCCATGGTATTTGGGAGTCATAAGCTGACATGAGGGTTCAGGTATAGTAAAATCTAGCAATTCGAAGCAGTATTTTCCACACTGGACCAGCCAACCAGAGAGAGAGATATTCCAGTGTTTTTTCATTTATATATAAATGTAGCCATGAATCTGCCTGAAGCCATTTCCCTAACCTCATTTGCCTGCGATGCACTATTAAGCCTGTAACAGAACATATGCTTTTCATGGCTGGGCTAATAGCCATCTAGGTGGGCAACAGACTGGAGCAATGATATGAGGGAGGGGATTGAAACCACCTTTCCCAGGACAACCGTCCAGTCAAGTTCAGGTCACACACCACTGTCCCGCAGTTACTTGTAATGAAAAATGGTTTGTCTGGTCTGGTCTCGAGAGTAGGCCTTAAGGAAGAAAGGACTCTTTGCTTTTAACAGCTGTATAAAGAAGGGAATTTTACAATTAATGCTGTTCTCATTCTGCCCAATGTCAAAACAAGTCGAATCTGATGAAGTTACTTTTTCTGCATTACTAGTACAGGAGCTTTGTCCTTCTTGGCCACAAAAAGGACTGGAAATGTATCCGATGTTCCCAACGTGCTGCATAAAGGTCACGCGCATGGTTCGTATGTTGTGCACCACTGCAAAATCTGGACAGGTGGTTATTTCGGGAGACAGTAAACGGGCTCAGCAGTAGCTCCACTGCTGCTCCATAAATGAGGCACAGACTAGCAGACAGTTTCCCTGCACAAGCACCAGTGAAGGTGAATCACAGCTCCAGTTCATTTCAGCAGCGGCTTCATAGGGGAATTTCTCCATAAACGGTGCCATGGCGAGTGAAAGCAAATGCTTCACTGGACCTCTTGGGTCCTGCTCCAGCTACCAGATGACTGAATTTCAGCAGGTGTGTACAAGGAACAAGGTCTTTTTGATGGTTGCAACAACACTATGGACCCCCTCCCCCAAGAGTTAGGTTCAGCTCTAGTTCTCAAGGATTTTATAACAGGCTGAACCAATAAACAGCATCTACTGCGTTTTTTTAGGTTGGTTTTGATAATATGCCAATTATTTATTTTAATCCAATTCCCCCTAATAGCAGCAAAGCCAGGCATTGTTTAAATAAGTATCTAAGTAGAGCTTGCTCAACTCTTCTTAAGGACAGTGCAGATTCTTTTCCACAGCTCATGCACACAGAGAAGAAAGTGCAGCTACGGCAGTCAGTAAAATGCGAGCGATCATCTAAGCACATCGCCGCAGCCCTGTGGTTTTACGCACAGCTCAACTGGCTGGAGCACTGGACAACGCAGCCTCAGCTTCTTACGCTCTTGCCCTGCCAGCCCGCACAGTTAAACATTTTGGCAACCAGCTCCATAATTTTGTAAATGGAACAGTTCTTTCAGGTCACCATAAGGCAGTCCTGCAAAACTTTGCTTTGAACTATCTGCAAAAGGATTGTAAAGTTGTGGTTACGACTTACCATTGAACTGTTATGACTTCAGCTAAAAATAATGCCAATGATTGAAATCTGAGCAAAAGGTAAAATTAGTCGCATAGCATTTCATACTGAAGCAATTGCCATCAAATATAGCACACGATAGTCTAACATGATTTTCCTGGCTTCTTCCCACATTTTTGTCAAGTCAAGGCTGGTTCCTCCAGAACAGACAGATTATGAAGATGTCACCTCTGGATCTACCAGAAGCGTGCCTGGTGGAAAAGCCTAGTGATGAATACAAAGTGAAAGCTAACAAACTTCAGTTTGTGCTCTCCGTGGACTCAGCTTTTATGAGTCACAGAGATGTATCGAGCATGAGTTTGTCAGTAAGGTTGAGAATCTCGTGCTTATGCAGCACTGTCTGTCTCTGTTCTTCATACTCCCTCCCTGAAAATATCAGTTCAGGAACAGGTGCGGAGAAGGCTGGCAGGGAGATGCTCCTCTTTCTCGTAATACTAGAATCCAGGCGGGTCTTACTATGGAGTTGACTGGCAGATGGACTTCTCTGCACAGTGCAGAGTTAAACAATGCTCTGCTTCTCGTGTGAGAGCAGGACATTGTGCCCCGTCATGCGGCCACTCATGGCTTTGCCAAGGGGCATCTTGACTCTACGGTGTTTTTTTCTTCCTTTCCTCCATAATAGTCCAACTAATACTTGTTCTGCCAGTATGAAGCTAGCAAATGGTAAGATGCCTGACTAGTAAAGGGCAGGATGAGTCATTGAATAGGGTCTCTATGCGAAACAAGACATAAACTTTGCATTACATTAAAGGGGCATAAGAGTGAAACAGGAAAAAAAGGGGGGCTGCTTTTAAAATTCCACTGCTTCCAAACGTGGTGCCTATTAATTGAATCATGTGAAACTTGGCATCTGCAATCAGTCTAGTTTGCAAAATTTCAAAGCAAGCCATTAAAGACGGCCACAGGCACAGCCAGTGCTACTGGGCCCCTCTTCACGTTGAACTGCTCTTGCACAAATTATGCAAAGATCACATATCCCATGCGCAGGAACAGAGCAGGGGGTGCAAGGATGGCGGACAGCAGGTTGCGTGTGCACAAACTAGTTAGACTTGGACTCCCTGCCAGATGCCCACACAAACGCTCCGTGTGAAGCAGGCTTAGGGCAAAGGGAAAGCCAGCTGAAGTCCCGGAAGCTGAGCCAGGAAAATCCAGCTGATTCTCACCTCCCAATGCAATGGGCCTCATCACACCTGGCTAGGAAGGTCACCTGTGCTCAGGAGAGATGGGGCCTCTCACCTTTGGAGCAGTCCAGCCCAGTGAAGCCTTCCTCGCAGTAACACTCGCCGCTGTCGCAGTACCCATTGCCACTGCAGTCCCGGGGGCACCTCTTCTCGCTGCAGTCCTCTCCGGTGAAGTCCTCGTAACAGTGACAAATGCCGTCGATGCAGAGCCCGTTTCCACTGCAGTCCTCAGGACACCGGAGCTGGCTGCAGTCTTCACCCGCATAGCGGGCGCTGCAGACGCACACACCTCCAACGCAGCGCCCATTTCCGTGGCAATTCCCCGGACAGGTAGGCTTGGAACAGTCCTGGCCTTCCCAGCCTTCGTCACAGTTGCAGCTGCAAACCTCATGGATGAACGTTCCATGGCCACTGCAAGATGAAACCCCTGTCCAAGCAGGAATGTGGGCAACACGGAAAGTCAGAAGTGGAAAGAAAATTCACTGACAATAAGAGCACAGTAGTGGAACAACTGGTTTTCTCTCTCTCTCTCTCTCTCTCTCTCTCTCTCTCTCTCTCTCTCTCTCTCTCTCTCTTTCTTTCTGGCTCATAATAGTGAGAGATCTAGTGATGCTACATGAGGAAGGGAGGCTGGCGGCCACACAACACGGCTTCCACAAAAACAGGTCCTGCCAGACAAACCTTGCACAATTCTATGACAAGGTTTCGAGATGGCTGGATGGAGGGGATGCACCCGAGGGTGTGGAATGGGCTTCCACAGGAGGTCGTTGGGGCCCCATCGGTGGGGATGTTCAAAGATAGGCTGGACATGCACATGGTGGGCACGTTGTGAGCAGAGCCAGCTGGAGCCGGGGGTCAGACTAATGGCCTGGGAGGCCCCGTCTGACTCGCTCTGTTTCTATGTTTCTGTCCTTATGGGGTCAATTTCATACTTGGGGAGCTTTCTTTTGGTACATAACATCTTTGTAGCACCTCACACGAAAGTGCCTGGTTGAATAATCTATAAAACAGGATGCGTTGTTGGCCGTATTTCCATCTGTCAGCATCACAGTGTCAAGACTTTGCTAACTAGACACCTGCAACTTAGGATGGGCACTAAGGGAACCCATCTGCCTCAGCGGTGGTGACACATGGATTCATTCCAATGTGTCACACGGGGAAAGCCTCGAGTCCCACCTGCATTCCCTGAGAGGTGCGTAGTTTTACAGTCTGTTTGGTTTGAAGCTGGGGGAAATGGTAGGCCCCAGGAAGCAGCTATTTGTGGCGTGTCCTCTTCCACAGAGGACAACCTCCTTTTTGAAGGGTTGCCAGAGGATCATCCTCTATCCTGAAGGACTGTCCCGTCCGGGCCTGGTTCAAAGAGGAAGAACCATCGGAAGGCATTGCAGGACTTTGAAGCTGAACAGCGCCCGGGCAGTGGACTGAGCCAGGCACGTGGGTCAGCCGGTGGCAGTCATACCACACGAAACTGAAATGGACTGTGCTTCTGTTTAAATTACAGTAATTATTTTTAAATTTGCATATGCACCTATGCTGGCATATGCCTCCTTTTGTTCTCTCTCTCTCTGGCCAGAATGCCCCTATTTACAATTGGCCATAATATGCCCATTCATGACTCTGGGACAATGGGCACAAAAGAACCCCCCAACATTTTCGGTGGCTGGACACAGGTTCCCCTAGTCGGTGCATCGTTGGAAGCCGGGAGAGTCCGGGGTTGTGGAAGAGGCTCCGTGAGGAACTGCCTGCGCAGAAACCCCTCCGAGCCAGGCCTCTTGGCGGTCTCTCCGAAGGGCTGCTCTTTTCTCCAGAGAACACCCAGGGCAGGACCCGCTCCCTCTGGCCACACTGCTCCTCAGAGAGTCTCCCTGCTCAGCCAGCGTGGCCAGAGGAAGGAGTGGGGGGCATTAAACCCCAGCGGAATGGCAAGGGGCATGCAGTGCGACCTGGCAGGGGGGGCAAGGGGGGTGTTGGAGAGGGGCGTGTGCAGCAGTGAGACGGGCATGTGGCAGTGGTGAGAGGAATCGTGCCAGGGCAGGGTGTGCCATCACCCCAACGGGGCTTCCCGATGCTTATCGCTGTGCATCTGTGCGTGACGGCTTCGCTGAGTCCCAGAAGGGTTAGTTCAACCGGTCCGAAAGTGGGTCTGTTCATCAACAGCCACAACGACACCCCGGGACAGGAGTCCTGTGTATTCTGTACATGCAACAGATGCTTAGGACTGCGGGAGGACTGCTTAGAACAAAGCCCCCTTATTGTATTGCTAACCTTCATAGCCTGTGATCCAGCCCACAGCCCTGGGATGGCAAGCAACCGGATGCACCATCCACCGGATTTTGCGACTTGGTTGGGACTGCAAGAAGACTGGGCAATATCTGGTTTGGTGGGGCACGACCACACTCACACTCAGGTCTCACCTTGGCCTCTCCCGCAGCATCTCTGAGGGCTGCACGTTTCTCTCAGCTGTGCCACTTCCATCTCCGTCTTCTCCATCCTTTCCAACAAAGCCTTGAGCTGGCTGAGGACTTCACAGTCGCCCTTGGGAGCCTGCAGCCGAATGTTGTGCCGGAATATAATATTTTGCTCCTCGCCTTCCTCCATTTCGCCCCCTGTCAACCGCCTGTGACTGTCATCTTGGAGGGGCTGTGGCCCTGGCTCCACCTTGAACTGAGAAGACTTGGGCATGTCGATCTTGTACGAGTGGCTGAAGGAGATCTTCTGGCTTTTGCTTGAGCAGTTTTCAGGTGGAGCAGGCGGCTGTGCCAGGGCTTCTGGGAGCAAACAGTGCAACAGGACTCCCAGAAGAGCCTTCCAAATTACCATCATGCTTCTGTGATTACCACAATAAAAGCAAGGAGAGGAGAAGGGGGAGACAAAGCCAGAAGATCTTGGCATGAAAACAGTTTTCCACCTGACTTGAAAAGAAACCAACCAGAAAAAGCTGTGTGTGAGAACTCAGCATCTGGCTACTGATCTGCACCTGCAGCAGAGGATGCTTCCCCAAGCAGGTGCCCTCCACACGTTGGACTATAATACATGGGCAGCAACCATGCTGACTCAGCATATGGCTCAGCACATTTAGTCGGGCCTGCTTGGGAAAGGCTGAAGTTGGCTCACTTGACCTAGCTTTCCCGGATGGTGCGGGTACTTCCAGATGGAGGGGTGCATCTGGAAGCACCCCCAGTTCCCAGAAGGCCTTGGGCAGCTGTTCCAGTTTCTTCTCCAGAGAGATTTTGTGAGTTAAGATGGAAAGAGCTGCAAGGAAGCACAGGAGGGTCTGATTAAGTGCAGCCTTCCATGACTGAGGACGGGTCAGAGACCACAAAGAGCACCCGTGCCCCCCGCGGACTACCAGTGGGCAACACCTGTTGAACTTTCCTCCATATATAAAGAGAAGCCCACCCAGTGCTGGCACATCAGGATGAACGTCGCCTTGAACCAGCTGGAGCACGGTGCTTCTCAAAGTTTCTTAATAAATAAAACTGCCCCTGCTCTTCCAGGGTTGGTGAACAGACTACGATGCAGTTTTGCATATTAGCGGCACTTAAAGCACAGTCCATCACAATTACGGGGCGCAATGAAGTTTCTTTGAGGGGTCCTGCTGCCCTCGTCGCCAGCCATTCCCTGGCTGACTGTGTGTGTGTGAGAGAGAGAGAGAGACAGATAGAACGGGAACTAGGCAAGGTGTGCTCTTTGAAGTGCAAGTTTACTGCAATCCACTGGGGGATCCCCCTTCAGAAATACCAGGGGTACACAGGTGAGAGCTGCTAAACCTGTCTCTCCACCTGTCTATCTCTCTGCAGGGATGCTTTCTTCCAGCAAGACTCACTTTTAATATGAGAACCAGCTGAGGGGAAAGTGAAGCCAACTTCTTATGTTGGTACTTTAACTTCTTGCAGGCGTGTTTATAAAAACCGTAACAATGGGCAGGGATTGCTTGAGGAAATGAATGTAATATACATCCATCCTAAACCTTATCTAGCACTCCAGTGCTACTGCAGAAGCCTGAAAAGTAGAACAGGATGTGAGGGTGTCTTTCTGTCTTTCCCTGCTTAAGAGATCGTTTTCTGGTAAAAAGAAAGATGCACAAAGCAGTGGGAAAATGCAGGAGGATCAGAAAAGGGTACTGACAATTTGTATTTAATTCCACGAGCAATTGCCCAATAAATGTCAGGAAAGCACCCTTGGTAGGCAGGAACAAACTTGCCAGTTTTACTTTTTGGATTTTTTTTTAAATCTCAGATTCTTTCCAGCTAGTTTATGGAGAAATGTCTGAATTTTGGTAAGCCTTCTCACACAACATTCCGAGCAAAATTCTCACCCAGCCCCAAGTCCCTGATGATAGTTCCAGTAATCAAATACTAGCATGAAAGACCTCATCCCACAACAAACTTTCTGCTGAAACGGCCTTTCGCCCCAGTCTTCCTGATCCTCTGGTTAGTCTGGCCACCTGTAATGTAAGGGGCATCTCTAATAATCTGCTATTTCTTTTTCCAAGCTTCCCGTTTTTTCCAAATGCCACAGAAATTAGCCCTCTCACTAGGCCCTCCAATCCCTAGTTTTCTTAGACAAACCAAGTAATCAAAATTGTGTCACAGCTTTGGACTTAAGCTCCCAGTAAACCTCAATAAAGAATGCCCAAGATCTCATTTTGCGCTGTACGTATTCGAAGGCTGCCAGATCTTTTAAAAAAGATCCAGCCTGGTTTTCCTAATTCCTGCCTCGAGCTCTGCTACATGCCATTCCCAGCCATAAACGTGACTTAGTTTGTAATTAATGTCTGTCCAGGGCCACAAATTGATTCCAGGCTTTCTGGGTTGGTCAGACCCTCAGAATAAAATTCCTAGACCCAGCTCTTTTCAGCAGCGTAATGGCAGATGCTTGCTTTCTCCTGGAGGCAGAACATCCAAGAGGTGGAGACAGGGCACCGGCCTCTTACATAATGATCTCAAGGCATCACAGGGAGTAAGACGGCATAACTAGAGATGTGAGACGAAAGCAAAGGGAAAGAAAGATATGCACTGAGCCACAGCGGACACTTCCTAACAAAGAGGTCTCTTAGCTTACTGAATACTACTGACTGCTTCCAGACACCACTGTTATTACTGCGACAAAGAACGGCAATTGTATATGCCATGGCCGTTCTGCAAGTGAGAACATTAGAAAGTGCCCCGATGACCACAGAGGAAGGCCGATGTCCCACCCTCGCTGCGGTCCATGAGAGAGGCTGTGGCCCAGCCGATGGGGCAGGTCGTCCTGCAAGCATGACCACAGGTGCTGTCGGCGGGGTTTGGAGAGGGCTGCCAGGGGGCAAGGCTGTAAGACTGTTGCCGCACTGTGACAAGGTGTGAACAACCCCCTCACCACTGCTGCTTGAACAAAACACCCCGCTGCCACGTTGGTGCACCCTGCGGATTTCTTTACTCTATGCACTGGGTCGACTGAGAAGGCGCGGAATGAGGCTCAAACCTTCAGAAGAAAGAGCAGAGCCGTCGTAAGGACTACTTAAGCCACATAGAACAATACAGCCATTTATCTAGCCTTTCTTTGGAGGCGCAGCTTTCAGTCTTCTTGCTTTTAACCCAGCTATTTTTGTCTCTGCCCAGCTTCTTCCTTCTGACCTTCTGCTCTTAAATGGACTTACTCAGCACCTGCAAGCTCCACTTAAAATGTTTCTGGTTCTCCTATTAACTCAGTTTCTACACACTCTTAGGTTTCAACTGGCTGAACTGAGTCACTGGGCCTCCCGCAGAAGATAATGGAGAAATCCAAGCTTTGAATGTAGCATCCATGCATCCTAAGCACACACCCCAAATGAAGGGAGTGACCCCAGAACAAGCCAGTGAAGACCGAATTTGCTCACTGGGCACAGGCTGCAGACTGGCTGTTGGGAGGAAACCGACTGTTGCTTGTGGGGGAATGGGAAGACACTGGGAACTCTGAACAAATGTACTTCGGGCTGAAACAGGCTCTTGCAAGAGCCTAGCTTCCCCTCTTCTCTGCAACTGACAGGCTTGAGTGCCGAAATGCGTGCAGCCCAAGGGCATCTCCACGCACAAGAAAGCTAAGGGGAAGCTTAGGATTGGCAGACATACAAAAACGTTTAGCAAAAGACAAAAGGGCAAAGCATTCTAAATGGGGGGGTACAGAATCCAGTGGAGAATGGGCACGTTATGTTCCACATAGCACTGACCAACTATTGAAGGTGGTTCGGTAAAACGGGGGGCAGGGGGAGACCGAACTCTGGGGAGGAGAGCAAGGCTGCCTGACATTGCTGGGTTCGGTGCTACAATGGTTTGCTGGAGGTCCCTCCTCCAACTCTTCCAGCAAGGGGGTGCATGTACGCTTGAGCTCCCCTTGACTCTTTAGGGATCCTGAAGGGAACGGCACAACGGAAGGCATGGATGAGAAGACCTGTTGATGACGCCACAGCCAGCAGTTCACACGAGCAGTGTGCAGTAAGGGTGTGAATATCCAGCCGGAATGTGGTTCTCTTGCACCTGCCAGACATCTTTCCTATGCTTGGCCCTGGTTTAGGAAGAGAGTCGCGGAAAGATCAAGTCCACAAATGCCTGGGGACACCAGCGGACCCCTTCTTTACCCTGAATAATTCTTGCACAAAGTATGCAAGCCCACAAGTTGTGTGTGGGGGAGCAGAATCCGCTTGCACAGCAGATGTACGGGTGGACGTCTGCACGAGTGCAAGCTGGCCTGCAGGCTTGCTTGGACTCACTCACTTCCTGCTGGATGCCCACGCCAGTGCTTGGTGTGAGCTGGACTCATGGCAGAGAAAGCAAACCAGAATCCGGGGAGCCATGCCAGGAATGTCCAGTGGATTCCCATTCGCAAACTGGATTCTTCACATATGGCAAGTCTGGACCTCTAGCGAGCCTGCATGGCAAAGCCGGCCAAGTGCTCTTTGCATGCACCAGACGGGCTTTGGAAGAAGGAATTTAGATATATGATTGGATAAGATAAATTGGTTTTCTTTATCTTCCAGCCAGGGGAGGGGAGACAAGAAAAGACACCGAACAGGTTCAGAAGAGCTGCAGTGCCTTCCGGCTGTACACCTTCTGTTTACCTAGGTACCCTTCCAACCCATGGATCCTGGGTCTTCCAAACCCAGTGCAGAGGCAGGAACTTTGACACCTCCGCAGAATCATGGCTTGCCACAGGGAGGTCCTGAAACTACCCCCACTGCCTACTTCATAAGGCTCAGACATGGGAAGCCGTGTCTCCCCATGACCATACAAGCCCAGCCACAGACAATAACAAACATTGTTTTATTTGCAGCTTTTTATTTTTTTCAAATGAAGTATGTAAATTGATTCTTTTTATCTTCTTTTATTTATTTTGAAAGTGTGTTGGTCACTGGCATGATGGTTCCCTGGAGTTATGCTGGCACAAGGAAACTGGGATTAAAGATGGTCCCTGAGTCACTAAAAACTGTGGACAACTCATACAGTGTGTGGCTTTTGCATTACATGCCACTACATCCTAGATTCCTAAACTTGCATGGGGTCAATAAGGCTTCCTGCTCCATGCAGGACTCCAAGTTAGTGCTGCTGTCAATACGATTAACCCATTTGCTAGCAAAGTAAAATGCAGAATCAGACAGCAGAAGAATCAGAGTTCTACCTAGCATGATAAGGAGATATTTTTGCATTAATAGAAATGAAGCATCAAACTCCAGATCCCCTCTTATCAAACACTATGCTGGACTATTGATTTTTAATTTGTGCAATAGAAAGCACTGTTACTTTATAAGAACAATATGAATTAATAATAAAATATCCAAGTAAAGATAGTCTTTCTCACACACA